GCCTATACACCAAAGTTTTTATAGCTGTACTTTTTGTAGTAGCAAAGAACATGTAGCAAATGCTCATTGATTGGGAAATGGATAAACAAATTATGCTGCATGAATTTAATGGAATTTTGCTGTGCTGTAAGAAGCAATAAATATGGTAGATACAGAGATGCATGGATTTATATTAACTGATGGAGCATGAAGTAAACAGAGCCAAGAAAACAATGACAACAATTTAAATAGCAGAAGGTCTATAGATGTGGAGTGTTGCATATAATTTTCAGATTCTCTCGTGAATTTAATGGTGTGAAAATAAAAGATATTAATAAAAATTCACTTTGGAAAAAAAAAAGTAGTGTGGACAGATAAAAAGGAAACAAAGTTAAAAAAGAAAAATCCTAGTGATTAGAGGAGAGCTTTACAGTGAGGACTAAGTACCCTGGCAGAGTTACTGCTACCTGAAGCCATACTTTGGGGACACTTGGACATAGTTTAGTAGACATATACAAGGAATAAGTGTTTTCTTGTATTTACACAAATGTTATGTATATTTGGTCATGTTAGTAACTAAAGTAAGATGGTACTGTTTAGTAATATTGAGGGGTTTTATGCAGTACTGATTTTGATGTTATATAACTCCCTTAGTTCCTGTGACCTGAAGTACACTGAAGGAGTACAGTCCCTCAACTGGACCAAAATCATGAAGACTATTGTGGATGATCCTGAGGGCTTTTTTGAACAAGGTGGCTGGTCTTTCTTGGAGCCTGAAGGTGAGGTATGTGAACTTAGGGTTTCAGGAACAGGTCAGTAGCTGATGTGTACAAGGTTGCCCAGTACCTTTTGGATGGATGGGGGAATGGAGATTGACATATGAGCAAAAAAAGACCAGACCCACTTGAGAGGAGGAAGTCAGGAGAACAATGTCAAGTGTGGACCACTCTCCTCTAATCCACCTTACAGGTAAGTCATAGATTAAATAATAGAACATTTGTATAGCAGTAGACAAATTTGCCTAATTTTATTGTCACAAGTATTGTCCCCGTTTTACATTTCAGGGAAACTGAGCCTTAGAGAAATTGACTTGTTCAAGGTATCACATAGAACAGACCCAAGTCCTTTGACTTCAAATCCATGTTGTTTCTGCACTACCATTGTATCTACTATTTTGTGGTGGGTTTTTTTTTCCAAATCACAAGGATAGGCATATTTTGAATGAGGGGGGTTTTTTTTGTTTGTTTTTGGGTTTTGTTTTTTTATTTTTTAGCCTTTGGTCTTCATAGAATATTAGTCACAGGGCAGCTAGATGTCGCAGTGGATAGAGCAGCAGCCCTGAAGTCAGGGGGACCTGAGTTCAAATTCAGCCTCAAAGCAAACACTTGACACTTACTAGCTGTGTGACCCTGGGCAAGTCACTTAACCCCAATTGCCTTAAAAAAAAAAACCACAGACAATATTAGTCACTCATAAGAAACTGTTTTTTAAAAACCATCCTTTACACCACAATCAGCCTTCTTTCTCAGAACAGTCTGTTTTAGTTTTTCATTTACCTGAAGGAAAAAGAAACTGATCTTTTCAGAAATAGAGAAGTAGGAGGATATCTTTTCAATTTCCCAAGTATAGAAAGGTCACTATACCTATCAACCTTTGACTTAGTTGATAAAAGTCTATCCATAAGAGTCTGTGAATCCATGAGCTTGGTCCAAACGGAACTATTTTATATTGACTTTGGTGATCTTGGACAAATGACTTTACCTTTACTTCAGTTTCTTCACATGAAATAGAATTAGAACTATTATTTTGAAAGGATTCATTAAATTATTGGTAGAAACTGTTTTAAAAACATGAAATGCCTTCTTATCATGGTCTCTGCTATTCTTATATTAGGGGAGTGATGCTGAGGTAGGAGACTCAGAGTCTGAAATTGAAGATGAAACTTTTAATCCTTCGGAGGATGAATATGAAGAAGAGGAGGAGGATAGTGATGAAGACTATTCCTCAGAAGCAGAGGAATCAGGTATGTATTTTTAGGGTCATCAGTTTCAGTGAGTATAAATAGAAGGCAATTCAGTCCAGTAGTCTGATAATCTTCGTTATTTCAGAGAATTTTATCCATTCCCATCCAAATTCCGTCTTGGAGGTATGTATGCTGAAGCACTGTTTGACTGCTTTGAGATTTAGATCTCTAATCTTCAAGTCACAGGGCCTGTGCAGGTGCTTGCTAAAAAATTGTACCCACTCTTATACTACTCATTAATTTGCTAATATGTAGCTGACTTCACTGTTCTCTATTCCTATTTCCATTCCCCTACATCTACATCCCATTCACTCTCCAATTCCCAGCATACTCCCATTTGCCTACTCCAAAGTCTAGCCCTACTGCCTGTCCTTGTAATATTTATACCCAGCCCACTAGTTTTTTATCCCACCTTAGCCCCACCTCTTGTTTTATCACCAATTTTGTCAAACTATCTCCATCTTAGTTTTAACTTCCCCTCCCTTTGTTTATCCCACTTCTTTTCCCAGCCCAAGTCTGGACTGCATTCCTGGCCCTGAGGTGTGAAAATTTGTGATTAAGTATTTGGGATTGAGAGAAAATGTCATAGTTAAGGGAAATCAGAAAAGCACATAAAATAACAGAGGCAGGGGCCATAAGGAGAATAAGAATTTTTCCTTTGTCCTTCTTACCTAATATCTTGGACTCCTATTATCTTTCATTCATCATTCTTTATCACTTTCTTCTGCTTGGGACTGAAATCTTCACCAGATAAAACTTTATTAGATGCAGCTTCTCAGGGAAAAAGAAACCTACCTTTCCATATCCACCTTGGTTCCTGAATCCCCTAACCAGCTGACTAAACCTGAATCTATTATGTTCCAGACTATTCCAAGGAGTCGCTGGGCAGTGAAGAGGAAAGTGGGAAAGACTGGGATGAACTGGAGGAAGAAGCAAGAAAAGGTGAGTTGACCAGCGATGTTGGGAGTGCAAACTTCTCATGCAGCCTTCTAATGTTGGTGGGGTGACCTACTGAGTATATGGCAGGTGAACACTCTTAAGAGATCGATCTGACACAAGTGCTGTGTAGTCCTAATGAGCATAGGAAGAGGAAAATGTAGGTTTGGAAATCGTCCACAGATATTCTGTGGATAAGAATATACCTCGCTGGATCTTTTTCTTAGACATCCAAGCCTGTGACATGGCCTAGGATTGTGTTCCAGATAATCAAATAGGGATTCTATGTCATTCTACTTCTAAAGTGAATCTTAAAGAGGCCCGGACAGTTGTAAAGCACATCCAGAGGCTCAGTACAATTTAATTAAGAACCAGACAACCTGCTAGAGACCCATGTAACCAGAAACTTTCCTGCACAAAGTCTTTCCCTGAAGCCAAACCTGATTTTATACTTCTAGACCTACCTAAGTAAGAATTAAGGAAAATTTTCCTAAAGTATGCTATTAGGCACCAAAATTGTGCTTTGGTGATCTTAATGCTTCTTTCACCTAATTCCCCAGGGGTGGTTTCTGAGTTTGAAAAGAAGTACAGACAGTTCTCAGTTTATGCAAATTTGCACAACACAAATTCAGCTCCCCAGGTTGAAGGTGGCAGGCAGCAGCCCAGTACCAGGGGTCCTCTGCTCTAGGCACCAAAGCCACTCAGACTGCAGGGGGCCCAGAGCAGGAAAGGGCAGAGCCACATGGAGCCCTGTGAGGGAAGGGAGAAGCCTGCTGAACGATCCACTTATATTAAGCAAGAACTGGCTCTATCTTGGCAGTGGGTGGAGCTGCCAGCGTAGTTTTATCAGGAACCTGAGGCTCTAATACAAAGTTTACTGATAGTCACCTCCCCTTTCTTCACAGCTGACCGTGAGAGCCGTTACGAAGAAGAGGAGGAACAAAGCCGGAGCATGAGCCGGAAAAGAAAGGGTTCCGTGCACAGCTCAGGGCGTAGCTCCAGCCGTGGCTCCAGACACAGCTCTGCACCACCCAAGAAAAAGAGGAAGTAGATTTGAACTTTCCACCTTATAATCCCTTCTTCCTCCAGCCAACCCCTAAATATTTTACATGACATAGAAACTGTATTTTTCCCTTCGTTTTCTTTGACTTTTTGCCATTTGTGTTCATGGGTTTGGGGGCCATTTTGTATGGACCAATCTACTCAGTGAATTCCAGGGCCCACCAGCCTACATGTCCTGAGACCACAACGTACACCAGTCAATGGCCCCATACAGATGCCGAGGGAAGAGGTATTCTTGAAGAAGGCCAGAGGCATCAGCTATTAATATAGTTTCCTTCCTCTCTTTTTTTATCTGTCATCCTCTTCCAGGAAGACCTTGTTGGCTTCTGATTATGATACCCATATGTAACCCATTTGCAAGGGGCTTGGGTTGAGCCACATGGATTCTGTGGCAGCTCAAAGGTGGTATCCTTTTTATAGTGTGGTATATAGGGCATTGCCCGCACCCTGGATCCTGACCAGCAGGCTCAATCCCTCCTCCTGTCCTACCCTATTGCCATAATCCTTTCCCCAGTTCTTGCAGTACTCAAGAAAAGGTTCATTTGAGGGCAATCAGCAGTTGCTAAAGGCTGTTATAATCCATAAGCTCCATGCAGCAACTTCAGTAATTGTCATTCTCCCTACCTTCTTGACTCATGCAAGGTCCTTCTGCTGTCTCCAAAGATGAGACAAGCAATATTTCCCTGCCTCACTGTCACACTTTTTCCTACAAATTCATAAACAACAGAGTAGGCAAGAGAAAATAATACAGCTTTTCTATATGAACTTCTCACCCAAGAAGGAATGGTTGTGACTCATATTCAATTCCTAATGAAATCTAGAGGGGTTGTTTTGAAGCAACAATAATTCTGGGTGAGAAAAGTTACTGTTCAGTATCCTAGAGATCGTATCAGAGAAAGAAAGGAAGGGGGGAAAGAAAGACAACACAGCCACTGGTCACTGTTCTTCATTTTTACTTGTCTTGCATTGTCCTGTATTTATCACAGTTTCTGTTGAACAGGTTTTTTTTGTTTGTTTGTTTTAGTATTTGGGAGGGGGTTTTGCCTGCCATCTTCCCTCCTAGTCCTCTGTGCTCACTCGTCCCAGAACAGATCATTCTGTGTCCTGTGACTTTAAGAGAGAGAGGCTTTTTGTTTTGTTTTTTTCTCCTTAGCAGTAGGACTTGATATTTTCAACTTTGGAAGAACTAAAAGATGAATAAAATGTGTTTTTTTGTAAGTTCACCTCTTGTGACAGTTCTTTTGTGCAGTTCCCAGAGTAGCCTGAAAGAGGTCATGAGCAAATCTCAAGTCTGCTTTCTCACCTAATGAAGTGCCAGGACCTTTCACTGCAGGAGCCGTATTTGGACAGATGGTACCAGAAAAAAGTAACAATGAGTCTAGGTTTTCTCCATGATAGTGAGGGAGACACTAGGTGTCACTAAGTAAATAGGGTTATAAATCTGTGGAATAGCAAAGCACTTCATAAGCAGACTTTTACAGTGGTCCCCTCAAAATGACCCTGTGATGTATTCACTTCTAAATAAGAGACTGCTTGCATCTGCGTTATCATAAATGTATGTCCTCACTCATCTCCTTGAAAATGGCGTGAAGTGCATCGGTTGCTTGAAGGGACACTTTCAATTTTCCGATGGAGGTAGCTTTGTCCTGAGGGTTGATGACTGTTGCAAATGAGAAAACATGAAAAGAGCAGAGTTAAGATTTTCTTCCCCCTATCCTGGGAGCTAAGGGCTAATAAAGGATGATTGGTAGCTAAATCATCTGAAAAGATCTGGACCTATGATTTCTTTTGTTGGTATCGGGTGTTTCTACGGGAAATCTTCCACTGCCATCATTTTTCTCTACCTTCTACTCTCAAACTAGAGCACTAAGAGGTTAAGTGACTTGACTAGGATAACAGCCTGTGTGAGTCCAGACCAGGTTTTCCTGGAGTGAAGCCCAACTGCACTTAGGTCATGCTGCCTCTCAGTCTCCTCAAGGACAAATGAAAATAACAGTTTGGCACGTATATAGTGATTTAAGAATGAAAATGTACTGTACGTATATTAACTCATTCAGTCCTTATGACTAACCTCTAAGATAGGCACTACAGGTGTTTATCCTCATTTTATAGGTGAGAAAACTGAGACTTAGAGGAGGTTAAGAAACTTGATCCTGGTGTACAGCTGCGAAGTATGAGCCTTGGGATTCAAACCCAGTTCTTGACTCCAAAGTCTAGTCCTCATTTCACTCCATGGTCCCTTGAAATACTTAAGACAAAGCTGGTTAAGGTCTCAGCTGTCTCTTGTGAAAGAATAAATGAAGCCACAGTTCTTTTAAGGCCTATTTTTCTTAAATGGATATCTTTAGAAACTTTTCTATAACCCAGGAAAAGGCAGAAAATCAATGTTGAAAGTTAATGCCCATCAGCATTTTGCAGAATGTATCCAATCCAGGGAAAGTCTCGTTTATTTATGAAAGTGAAGTTTGGTTTTCTAAAAAATTCCAATTAAAGAGTTTAAAAAACATATAACAATGCCCTGATGTTATTAAAAATTCAGTCCTGGACCATGTGGAATAGTAGTAGGCCAACTTTTAGAGTTAGCTGCAATTAAATGATGACAGAGAAAGATTCCAAGTTTAGTAGCATCTGATCAATTTTGCAGTTATAATTATGAAGGCAAAAAATGAAAAAGTGTTCATTAATGAGATGCCTTGGAAGTAAATTTACTCACTGTCTATCTCTTGTTCTAAAATGTCTCTTCCTGTATCCAGGATCTGCCACAGTTCCAAGTAAGCATAGCCTACTTCTTGACATTCATTCTTTTGCTCTTCAGGATCACTCACCACTATAAATTTCAGTCTAAAGAGGAAAAATATTTCCATTTGGCAGCATTCATTTTAACAGTCTTTACATTTTTTTGTCCCATCATATATGCTAAGCATGTAACATTTTTTTCCTCCCTCTCTCCCCCAGTTAACAGAAGAAATAGACACAGTGACCTCTTTAGGGACAGTTGTAAGGAAGGATAAGGACAAGCAGTCCTTTGTTTTTAAAATTGTCTATTAGTGGATTGTCTTTCAGGGTTAGAAAACCCCACAAAATACAGTCTTGAGGGGAGATTTCAGAGAAGATCAAAGAATGGACAGGAATCAAGATCAGACTGTTGGCACTGGAAGAGACCTTGGAAATCATTTTACAAAATAACAAATTGTCCAAAGAGGCTGAATGATTTTATACAAACTAGTTATTGACAAAGCCAAAATCAAGTGCACATGTATCAGTTGTAGAAAGAGAAAGATTATTTTAATAACTCATGTTTACATAGCACTCTTTCCCATCTCTACCACCCCCTGGAAACAAAGTACTTGCACTTCAGAGCAGGCCAGAGAACAACAGGGTATTCAAACTGAGCAGGATAGAGGAAAAAGGATAAAGAAGCAAGAGTGTAAGCATACCCAACCTTGTGAAGTTGCAGACAATGGCTGGGTAAAGACAACTGTGTTCCGTTGGGTTCCAGACACTGACAGAATGTCTGTGTAGGTAACTGCAATTCCAGGTTAAAAAAAATTTTTTTTAATCAAAGAAACTTTGATAAGAACTCAAAGAAGCCTGTGGGTAAGGGGAAAAAACTAAGGTAACGACCATTTTCGTCCATTTAGCTAATTTGCTTCTTACTCCTTTTTTCTCAACCTTGAAAGGTTGTCCGGCAGGACCGCCAGTCTCCAAAGGGGGCAGCCCTAGTCATTTGAAGTTCAAGATTCCTCGCCCTCAGTTTCAAATGGCTGTGGCTGATGGCAGCATTTTGATGAGTAGCTTAGAAACCAAAGCATCCCCTAGCAATAGCGGTCAAAGCAAAAAACAGATGGGTTACACCTATTCCAAAATAAGGGGAGTGAGAGGCATGCTTCATTGGATCTGTGATTATTATAGATATGGATGTTAACCCTAATGATGTAGAACACAACCTAGAAATACCCAGTCAGCCATCCTGTGCAACTCTTAAGGGAGTCCACCCAGTATATTGACGGCTTTCCTACAAGCATTTTAACATACCACATGTACTGAGCTGTTTGTTACTTTTTCTCCCACATGACCCACTTCCTTTTCCAATCATATGTTGTTAGAGGACCTCTTTTAAGGTTCTTTGTAATCACAAGCCTACTTTGGCCCAATCATGCTCTTCTCTTCCCTCTTGGGGAGTAGCTAGGTTCCCTGTGGATGTTCCTGTTTGCAAAATGACACTGTGTTTTATTGTGTCAAGCTCTAAACTACCACAGAGCCAAGGATACTTACACATTTGCAATTTTTATTCTTCATCATTGCTGTTTTCCATGATTCATAGCTATTTAACATCACTAGAAGAATATTAATATTATTTGCCATGAAGGCAAGATAGTGCTCAATATTTTGTTGGACTTTTTAGACAGCAGCCCACTAAGCCACGTCTTTAATTCAAAGTGACCCCCAAATTCCTTTCCTCAGTTAACCTACTGTTAAAAGATTTATCTCATCTCAGGGACAACTAGGTGGCACAGTGGATAGAGCACCAGCCCTGGAGTCAGGAGGACCCGAGTTCAAATCTGGTCTCAGACAAGACATGTAAGACTCACTAGCTGTGTGACTCTGGGCAAGTCACTTAACCCCCAGTTGCCTCACCAAAAAAAAAAAATTATGTCAAGGAGCAGTTTCGGATTGTTGAAAGCACTGCAGAGTTTCCAAAACGCAAACTACCCTACTTTTTCCTTCGACAAAGTGAGATCTCTTGTCTACCTATAATAACTAACCCAAGATATATGCACTAATGGAATAATTCAACGAGCAGACTTTCCAAAGGAATGTCACAGTCTGGTTAGTAGGCATGCTTTGTTCATTTGTTTTTTCCTGTATGAAATGTTATTGTTGATCTCTTTGGAAGTGACAGAAACATCATTAAGAAAGCCTTTGATGCAGTCAGCACAGTATTATCTACAAACAAGGGCATCTGGAGGACTTTACCACCTCTAAAGGATCCATTTTCTATTTGAACTCTGAAATTTATCCTCCATGATAGAAGTAAATACCTTTCACAAGCATCTGTCTCCCCCATTTTATATCACTATTGACAGAGTACCTATCACTACTGTCAAGATAACATATGCAAAGGAGATGACTTTAGAAGAGAGCATTTAAGGTTATCTTTTGCACTGAATCAATTATTTTTGTAAAAATAAACAGCAGAATCTTGTATTCTCTACACCTTTCAAGCAATTTTGTGACATGAAGATATGTGCTCTCTTGCATAAAATCATTTGTGAAAATACCAATTCCATTCTCATATTTTCATCAAGGATATGTGCAAATATATAGATCATTCTCATAAACATTTTATGAGATGATAAAGCAAGCACATAGGTTATTATGGCTTCCTTCATCACTTTTGAGAATAATGATCTCAAGTCTAATTTTATTCCAGTTGTCTGCAGCAGCCGCTCTAAATCACCTTTCCTTAATGGAAAAACTGTTCATATGTATAGCTTATGAATGTCCCTCACGCCCAAGTGTTTCACATTTGAGATTTTACTTCTTGTTTTATATTTTTGGGAGTTGTTTTTGTTAATCAGGTTTACAAATGCTTTTTAAAAAAATTTAAACCTACAAAGAAAAAAAATTAAACGTGAATAGAAATTCTTAGTAAAAACATAGGTCCGGTATTTGTGGGCTATCATTATTAAATGTTGGACAGCTCATACTGCCTTGGAACATAAAGGTTGAAGGGATCTTCTGGTTTGTACAACACTGTCAGTATTCAAATACTGATCATCAACAAAAACGACGGCACTACCAATGGTTGAGGCACACATGAGAATGTGAACTATACTGTCTGACTAAGGTTGCCACAAATAACATATTTAATTTCTTGATACTCAGATTTCAGGGAACGTGTACATCAAAATAAAAGGGACACCCTGTGTATCCAAACAGTGTAAGACATAGGCCTTAGGCCAGAGAACCCACTGCAGCATAGCTCCATTCCCTAAAAATTGATAGGCGGTACTTACTGCCTCTGCTCAGGATTTTTTTCCTGCAGCATAGAAAAGAGAAACTTCCTTCGGTCTCTGTGTTCCACTGGGTTCAGGTCTATCACTGTATACAAAAGAAAGGGAAACATAAGTGATATCTTCTCCCATTTTGTTCACAATACCCAGATCCCATTTATCTAGCATGTTGAGTTTTACAAAGAACTTCTCTATCACCACCCTGAGAGGTAGGTAGTGCCAGCATTACTATTCCCATTTTACAGAAAGAGAAACTGCAATCAAGTGACTTGCCTATGGTCTCACAGCATTAAGTGCCTGAGGTAGAATTAGAACCCAGTTCTGACTACAAGTCCAGGGTTCTTTCTACTTTATTACCTTGCTTCTCATAGAACAAAAAGCCAGATGCATCTCCCAAACTGTCCAAGTAAAGGTCTGGGACAGGGGTAGGGAACCTGCAGCCTTCTGACTGAGTCCAAGTTTTATAGAACAAATCCTTTTATTAAGGGATTTGTTTTGTCAAATTTGGATTCAGTCAAAGGGCTGCACTCGAGAACCTAGAGGGCCACATGTGGCCTTGAGGCTGCAGGTTCCCCATCCCTTATCTGGGACCTAACAAAATCCTAGGAAAACTTAGTAAAAGCCATGTGGTCCGGCAAATATCAGAATTTTCTCCTACCATATAAGCCCAGTCTAGAGTACTCCTAAGGGACACTCAGTAGGTAGTCATGGTAATCTGATAATACAGGTTTTTCACAGATAACTCACTACCACCATCACCAAGTCTAAGACCCTATAAAGGACCAGAATAATCCCTCAGAACAAGTTGGAGAAGGTTCCCAGTCTGTGCCTTTTGTCAGTGTTCTTTGCCCATTGAATCCACAGGACCCCTGACCAACAAGGAATCTGTTTGAATAGCAGAAAGGTTGGTTTTTACCTTTGTTGAAATGAAAGTGGATATCTTCCCCTGCCCTGGGTTTCCGAAGGGATACAGGTGTCTCCGTCTCTGACAAGGGCAGATCATGAAATCTGTACTCCACATATACCTGCTGGATGCTGTCATCAGACATCACTTCAGCTTCAGGGTCAAAGGCCAGGGACACAATTTCAATGCAAATCTTGTCTGAATTCTAACAAGAAAAAGAAAAATATCTGTTTCTCTGCTTTCTTCAGCACTCTAGGTATTATACACTCTATATTTGGTTAATAAGCAGTACCCCTCTGAGCCCTGTAGCAGAAGCATCACAGGTGGCAAAGCTATGTCCCTGAGAAGTAGTATATAAATAATTAGTTAATTAGTGGAAAATCTATATAGAAAACTCAGAAGCTTTATGTCACAGTCCAGCAAACGGCTTCTCTCACTGAGCATTTTCTTGTTATGTTCACATCCAGGGAGAGCTGGGAAAACTTTTTGGTCAAGTAGATTTTAAAAATATTTTTCTAAATAATAACTGTCTCATCATTATAGAATCAAGGTTTAAATATTACAGTTGACTTTAAAGATGTATTCTGTCACTTTGGCTGCAATACGGAAGTCATCACTGGTAAATATACTTGGGCCTACTTACACTTACTATCCATCTTTTTTGTTACCCATCAGATGACTCACAGTTTTGATTTTTCTGAGATCATGGTATTCCATGATTCACAGACATATAGCATTGCTGGGAAAATTTTGTTACTAAAAATACAGGCAGGAAATAGCTTAAAATCACTGAAAGTGCCGAGCCATTTTTTCCAAATGGGAAACACACTTTCCTCCTGTTACATTCTGGGCCAGCTCAGTACCTGTACGCAGAGAGCTAGAACTAATGAACTAACTCTCTTGGTCCCTTATTCATCTGGATGTCACAGTCTAAGCAATATGCATTTATTCGCCCATTTTATTCTTCCAGTCTAGACAGACCTATCTCTTTGGAATTACTGTGTATATCATTAATAGGGCTCTATAATATAATCCATTCAATTGGTGCAGTGGCGTCTGCCTATAGAAGTTGGAGAAAAATGCAACTGAAAAAATGAAAACTTCTGTTTAGACTCTTCGTTGGCTGTGAGTATATGTCTCTAAGTTACAATTTGCATGTAAAAGCTATTTTTGTGGTTGTTCAGTTGTTTTTCAGTCATGTCTGACTTTGTGAGCCCATATAGGGTCTGTTTGGCAGATACTAGAGTGGTTTCCCATTTCCTTCTCAAGATTATTTTACAGATGAGGAAACTGAGGCAAACAGGGTGAAGTGACTTGCCCAGGGTTACACAGCTAGCAAGTGTCTGAGGTCAGATTTGAACTCAGGAAGATGAGTCTTCCTGACTTCGGGTCCTGCACTCTATCTGCTGCAGCACCTCACTACCCGAGTAATGATACCTCCTTTCTAAACCCTTATCATCCAACCCTAGAAGTCTGGTGTCCTCATGAAACCTGGAACTCTCCACAACCTCCTCTGTGATAGCCTACGCAAGCTTGCATACCACACAAGTGTTATGACCATTTCCTTTTCCCTCTTATCAAAATTCTCATCCATCAAAATATTAGGAAAATAATCTGAGTAAACTAATCTAATGTATGACCCTCTCTCAATCTCTAAACATTACAGTCATATAATTTTACAGCTAGGAGATGTTTAATATTTGTAACCCAACTGAATCACTAATCAGTAGGATTTTAGGTAACATGGTGATTATTTTTAGACAAGGAGGCCTCCTCTTAAATGATATGAAGCAAGTACCGGGATCTCTTCTCCTTCACCCTCTCTGAGTGACTGAAAATAAAAGTGTTCTTGTCCAGACGTATGCTTAGAGATGGGACTTGGGACTAGAATGGTGGACACTGGTGATGAAAAGGAAGGCAAGAAAAGGGACATGGAGGTCAGGAGAAGAAAAAAGATGGCTCTGGAAGTTTTGCTCTTATCTTGCATTAGATGGCACCATGCTGTGTCAGGGAATTCATGAACCAAATGGCCTTGCCATTTACAGGCCAAGAGCATGAGGAATGACAGAAAGTTGGGAAGAGAGAGAAAAAAAAAAACCTAACAGTTATGACTTGGAGAATGGGAAACTCTACCAGGGAGCCCTAATATTCAAGACTCTAAGTGATTGATGGTTGAGATACATCTTAGGGATTATTAATGGTTGATGATCAGAAATTCCCTGTTTAATTTCTTTCTCTCACACTGTTAAGTCATAGATTCTACCCAGGAACCCTAGGAGAATGTATGCCTGGCAACCTCCTGATAGAGAAACCTATTCCCAACTGGTTAACACAAAATTTACAATTTTACAGTAGAAAGGAAGATGGAAGAATCAGAATTCAAATCCAGGTTTTCTAACTTGAAATATAGGGCTCTTTCCACTATGACAATAGTACAATCCTTGAGGACAAGGACCCTTCATATACTCCATTTAGAAAAATACAATGGGTATATATTAAATACTGACCACCTTTTGAAATCTATAGCAATGAAAGCAGAAATGGAATGTTTTCTCTGTGCAGATCCCACTTTTCTAAACCTCCTTGCCTTCCTCCCAAAAATCATCCTACTGTTTCCAGCAGTTACATCCCCTACTTACTACCTCTTATCTCTACTAAGGAAGGAGACTTTTCTTTAAATTTTATCCCTTTTTATTTTCTGAGAATCCCAACTGTCCTCTTGGGGCGGAGACAGAGTTCTGACAGACACCTGATACAAGCAATACAGACAAAATTTATTTTTAAGGAATGCCATTTTAACATGTGCTTTTTAATAAAGTTACTTTATACCCTGGCACAAGGCTTATAGAAATAGTGATTTGCTGATTTGTTTTTTAAAAAATCTAATAAAATAGATGTGTTCACAAATCCTCTCTGTACGGTAATTGTCTTTACCATTTTTTGTTCCAGTTTTTTTTACTAGTTTTTCTGTTTCTGAAGTGATCATATATATACATGTGTGTATATTATGTATGTGTGTGTATGTGTATAAACACGTGTGTTAAGAGTCTCACTGGAAAGATCTCAGAAACAAAATAATCCAGCAGCACACTCTGGACTCTGGAGCTGCTTTCAGTTTGGTGCAGAGTAGAAAGGTGACATATCAAGCCTTGTAGGTGGTTTGCCCTTGTAGGTAAAGAGTTCATTTCAGGGCAACTAGGTGGCACAGTGGATAGAGCACTGGCCCTGGATTTGGGAAGACCTGAGTTCAAATCCGGCCTCAGACACATAACACTTAACTAGCTGTGTGACCCTGGACAAGTCACTTAACTCCATTGCCTAGCCCTGCCCCCGCCCAAAAAAAAGTTTTTTAAAGAGTTCATTTAATAAAATAAAATAATCATTTTGGCACATAGTAAGTAGTATGCTCAATCTCCAATCTGGTATAATTCAAATTTGGCTAAATAAGGTTGATATTCCACTAACTTAGGAGTTGACTAGATGCCTATGGAGGGCCCTAGAAACTCTGGAAATCTTATGACTTCATAATTTGTAGGATGGGAACTAGACCACCTGTGATTTCATTGGTATAAGGAGACCCTAGTTGGGGAAACTCCCTCTACCAACCCAGGTCAGTACCTTGTCTGCAACTTAAAAGAGACTTAGAGAGTTGTTAAGAACATTGAGAAGTGAATATTTATTACTGACTTGCCCAGGGTCACATAGGCTGTCTGAAGAAGGATTTGAACCTAGGTCTTCCTGAGTTCAAGGCCAGCTCTCTACCCACTGCACCACATTATCTATAATTTTTAGTTGGCCAAATGAGAAGAAGAGCTTGCACCTGTTTTTTATTCCTTCATTTAAATATCACTTGTTCTCCAAGTTTACAATCTTATCTCACCCTCATTGGTTGTCTCCAGATTGACTTACTCTCTTAGGCCCTTTCTGAGACAGGGGTGTCACTATGACATCATCACTGTCTGTTGTCTGTGTTTCACTGACTTCATCAGCTTGTTCAGAAGGTCGATTAGCTGCCGAAGAAAAGATTGGAGTTATATCTCTGTGCCAGATAACCCACTCTTTCCAACAAAAGGTCCCATACGCACAACTTCTGCACCCCATTCTTTGGCTTTAGGTCATAAAGTCATGGCATCCAGAAATGGATTTTGCAGAGATGTAAAGCCTCTTTTCACAAAGTTTCACTTATTCTGAAATTTTTCTAATTATCACAGGCATATTTCTAAAACAGGAAAGAAAAATCCTTCAGTAAGGGTTCCAGAATAAGACAAAGATAAGGAGAGGCAATATGTCAGAAGTAGAGGCCACAAACATGTAGGCAGCTCCCTGGACACAAGTTCAGGCACTTTAACACTTTTTAAAATAAACGGATGTTTTTCATGCCATGAGAGTATTCTGTGTCACATAGGCACTTGTTTTATAGTAAACCAAGTTGCCTGTGATGCAGCAAATTCTCCAGTCAATAGTCACCCCCAGGGATACTAAAATCCTGCCAAAGCTTTTAAAATGCCTTGTTTCAGATCTACCCTGAAGTATTTCACAGGCCTAGAGACAGGAAGGGCTCAAATAAAATAGGTTGCTATCTTAGCACAGCATATGAAAAAAGCATAAAGCTACAAAACTAGAGGCACATATGAGTTTAAACAAGGCACATTCCTTTCTTCTATGGCATCTTCCATAATAATCATTAGACCATTATTACATAAGAATAGGTATTTTGGGTTAAACAGAAATTGCTTTTCTTAAAAAGCACTATATATCATGTCCATAATGCCTCACTGACAATAACATAACAATAACATAGGATCACAGAATCATAGATCTGAAGCTGAAAGGGACCACAAAGATCATCTTATTCAACTCCTTCATTTTACAGATGAGGAAACGGAGGCCCAGATCAGTTAAGAGACTTGCCCAATGCAGCTCAAGCAGGAAGTACCCCACAGAGCTGGGATCAGAAACAAGGTTCTCTAACTCTAGAGCCAATACTTCTTTCCAATATGCTAGGAAGCCTCCTCTCAACTATTCTAATTAACATTTTTATTAGCGCCTTAGGATTTACAAAGCCCAGTCCTTATGACAGACAACTTTCTGAGGTAGGTAGCAAAAATATTATCTCCATTTAACTGCTCAGAAAACAGAGATTAGGTGACTTGCCCATGCCCACATAGCTAGTGTGACTCTTTGAGGAGGAAAGACTGTTTCATTTTGTCCTTGTATTCCCAACACGTAGCATGTTTGTTGATGAAGACTAGAACTTCGTCCAGGACCAGTGTACTACAAATTTTTGGCTTGTGCCCAATGTGTCTAGAGTGCTGATACAAAGAGAAGTTCTATTCTTGATCATCTGAGGCCCAAGAGAAAGAGAGTTATTGGAAAGAATATGAAGATGTAAATGGTTCTGCTTTGATCTGCCTAATTAATTCAATTCAACAAACATGTATCAAATACCTAGCTATGTGCAGGATGTTGTGCTAAGCATTTCAGAATATAAAACCAAAGTGAAACAATCCTTACCCACAAGGAGCTTATATTCTTAACCTTATATATAAAAAGAAAAAAAAAGTCTCCCTTTCTACATTCACTTATAAATTAAATAGCTAGCCCCTGATCTTCTTAGAATTTCCTTTATCTCCACTTATCAACCACATTCTCCATGAATAGAAAGCCAATGGAGGACACAAGGCAGATTAAAAGGAATGTGGAAAGGGATGGGAAGCACATGTAGATAGATGAAGTCTATTGGATAACACTATCTATCTTAAGAATAGTTCATTGAAAAAAAAAAAGAATAGTTCAGTTGGTATTTACAGGCTAATTGCCAAGGGCATAGATAAAGAATGCTCAAGATCCAAGATTAGGTATTTCTAAAATAATTTCCTATACTGAGTTCTCACTACTGGAAAGAGCTAAGTCGTGGCTCAGAGAAGCTTGTTTCGTACAAGTAAGAAAAAAAAATTCTATCTGTTAAGTTATGTGCCCTCTCCAGTCCTACAATTCTCCTTTGAGAATTTGAAGGCTTTACCATGTTTGTACCTTCAGTAAGGTATATAACCTGAGTCTCAGTTTTACTGAATGTTCTCTAAGGTTCCTTCCAGTTCTAAACCCTATGATCCTACAACAAAGATGGATTGGTTAGAAAATACACAGTATCACAAATTTGAGTTAAACACACTTTCCCCTTCTGCTCCTCTCAATTCAGTATTTCATGGGCTTTTAGAGATAACATTAGCATAATCTTTAATTAAGGTGCTATAGTTAAACGTGTGATTAGGCCAGCTGTTGGTTAACAACTCCATCAGATTGTTACCCCACCATAAAATTTAGGACTTTTGTTTTATCCTCTAGCAAAAATACAGCCTTGAATAGTATAGGAAAGGAGTAAGTAACTAAGTTTCATTAGTGGTTAGGGATCAAGTGGATTCTGAAAGACAATACCAATGTCAGGAGATGGAGACTCTTGCTGCTTTACTTCTGGGTAACATTCCCCTGGCTCTTTTTGTGCATCGTCAATAGCACCTGACAATTTCTTCTCCTTCACCTGCTTCAGAAAAAGACACCCATCATCATACAGCTGGCAGTGGTTTCAGTCTAGTTTCTTCGGTGGCCATTAAGTCTCTATAAATAGTACCATCTAAGCAGTAGGTGCTCAATTAATGCTGGGACTGGGGGGGAGTGGGGAGGGTCAGTATCAGGTTACTATATTTTAAGACGTACATGTCTGACTTCTTTATGTTAATGAGGTGACTGCGGAGGATAACGATACTCGTGCAGAGACTCATATAGGAGAATCAAGACCTTGGCGACTAGTGCTTCCTTGTTAACCTTGTCACTGAACTTCTCTCAGATCCAACACAAAGGTGCCAGAATCCTTTCCCTTGAGCATTGTTTTCAACTTCTTATCCTTTCTTCAGAATTTAGAAATAGCTTCCAAAGCTACTAGCTTCTCCTTATCTCACCTCATTCATTTGCTATACCTTTTTCCCTGGACTCTACTCCAGAGTAGGCATGTGAGCTTTTCTTCAGTTTCTTCCCCCCCCTTTCCTCTCCCACCCCCTCCCAACTCTTCAAGTTAAGTAGCTTTAAATACTTACTAGTGCCAGATCCTATGCTAAGCACTAGGGATGCAAAGAGAGGCCAAAACACCAAAGCCATTTCTGTAGGCTTCTCCAGAACTCTCCTATGGCACAGCTGTACTCTATTGATCTAACGTCCTTTTATCTCCACTCCAGACCTTCCCTTCCCCTTTCCTAAAGCCTTTCCAGACTAATCCCACCTGATTTCCATCACACCTGTAAGCCACCCCAACCCCTCAATACATAAGTCTTTTGTCCTTTTCCATGCCCTATATATTCAAGTATCTATGCACAAATCTGCGTACAGTTCTAGTAGGAAATTGTTTTGCTCTCTTTCCTAGAAGATGATTCCGTAACAGTCTTGAGGGGACTGAGCATGTACATGCTGTGGCTCTGGCCCCCTGCTCAAGGGCAGGAACGACCAGACCTTCCTTATGGGTCCCTTGATCCTCATGATAGTGGGAGATGGGAGTAGGAAGGAAGGACATCCAAAATGATGTAGCTGAAGCCACCACAACTACTACTGGAGAGGAGGACAAAGTAATTCCCTCTCTTTTTTTCCTTTTTCCCTCAATGGGAAATCTAAGCAAAGCTCTTGGAGTGCCAAGCCCCACATTTCAAAAAAGAAAGCAGCAGGAAACCTCTTTTATGCTACTATGTAGTTTGTCTTGGCTTAGTCACCTGTCCGTGTTGCCACAGACTCATTACAGGAACCAGGAGATGAACCAGGAGCACATATGCCCTTTAACAAGGGACTGAGTCCCATACCACGCCAGAGGTAGCCCAAGCACATACTCAGCCCCATTTCCTCCATTATGTATAAAAGTACAGACTGATTTTTTAAAAATACCTAATCCAAATAAATTTGTGGTGGTTATGACCAAATTGGGTTAAATGGCCATGATGACAACATGTGTCTCTGTCCTCCAGCTTTGAGAAGATGGTTTTTGGGGACAGCTCTGAGATCCTTACCTTCCCCTTAGTTCTCACCTCCAATCTATTTCCAATCAAGCAATCAAGACTAGGATTTTACTTTCTACTCATCTTTCCTGTCATATTTTATTCTCGTATACCTTTCAGCCTGAGGCTTCCTTTCCTTTTTTTCTAAATCTTAAAGTTTATTTTGTTATTTCTTGCAGGTTAGACTCAGTTACACCAGCAATAGAAGCCACCTAACCCTTTTCAGAAGGGTTAGAGGAGGAAATTTCCACAACCATAATGTCTAAAAACCAGATTTTCCAATTCATTTTAGATGTTATTTCTCTACTCCAGGGGAACCCAGAAACAAAGAGGATGATTGTTCTCTGTAGTGAAACCAAAGAATTGTGCTGAACTGACTCCTTCCCTCCCTCCTAGATATTCATTCCCTCCTCCCTGGGTTTTCAGGCTCTGTCTTTGATTTCCTGCTACCTACCTGGCTGAGTAATTCTTAATTCCCTTCGCTGGACTATCATCAATGCCCCGCCCCACTTTGCTTCATTGTGCTCAATAGGATTCAGTCCTATGTGTCTGAATCTCTGTCTCTGTCTCTCAGTCACTGTTTCCATCTCTCTCCTCAGCTTCCATGAGTTCAATCATCATCTCTATCCAGATGATTACTAAATTTACTGATCTGGCCCTCATTTCCCTCCTGAACTCCAGTCCCACATCACCAATCGCTTGCTTTACATCTCTGACCTCTGTGTCTCATATACATCTCAAACTCAACATATTCAAAATGAAATTATCTTTCTTCTAAAACCCACCTAATTTCCTTATTCTTTATTTCTATTGAAGTCACCATCATCCTTTTAGGCAATCAGGTTCACCATACTTCAGTCTCATCTCTGACTGTTGCCTCTACCTTACCACCCATATCCTATCAATTGCTAAGTCTTGACAATTCTATCTCCTCAACGTCTCCTGTATCAGTCTGGTGCTCTCCACTCACCCTGCCACCACACTACTTTAGGGATTTATCACCTCCAGAATACACTATTTGCAGCAGCCCTCTAATTGGCCACCTTCCTCCAGTACATATTTTCTATATATGCTAACTGCCAAAGAGCCATTCCTGAAACACAACAGTTTTCCCGAGCTGCCTGCATGGTATTCCTAAAACACAAATCCAAACATTGACAATCCCCTTTCTCCAGAAGCTCCCTCTTACACCTAGGATAAAAGACAAATCCTTCTGCTTGCTCCTTCACACTTTTTTTTTTTTGGTGAGGCAGTTGGGGTTAAGTGACTTGCGCAGAGTGACACAGCTAGTGAGTATTATGTGTCTGATGCCGGATTTGAACTCAGGTCCTCCTGACTCCAGGGCCAGTGCTCTATCCACTTCACCACCTAGCTGCCCCTCCTTTATACATTTTACACTTCAGTCCAGATGACCTCTTTGCTGTTCTCTGAAAAGGATGTACTCTGTCCCCTCCCTCTGTCCTTTTGAATGGCTGTCTCACAGGTATCCCCACCTTTTCTCTGCCTCTTGGGATACCCGGTCTCCTTCAAAGTTCAATGCAAATGCCACATCCTACAGAAGCCTGGTCTTATCACCGAGTTGTCTTCCTCCCAGAAGTTATTTTGTTTACATTTTGCATTTAGATTTCTATATTATACATTTCCTCCCCTCCACCCAATAGATAATGAGCTCCTCAAGGACAAAAGCTATTGTCCTTGTATCTGTTTCTCAATATGAGTAAAATAAAGATGGTCCTCTTTCCTTGCTGTTATTTGACTAGTTCTAGAAATACTAGTGAAGGCAATAAGATAAGAAAAAGAAATTAAAGGTAAAACATAGGCAAAGAGAATATAAAGCAATCTCTAGTTGCTAATTATATAATGGTTTACTTAGAAAACCCCAGGGAATCAGCAAAGAAACTAATTTAGACAATAGCTTCAATAAAATAGCAGACATAAAATGAACCAAATAATCAACAGCATTTCTATGTAATAGCAACAAAATACAGGAGTAAAGAATAGGAAGTTCCATTCCAAATAACTACAAAATGCATAAAATATCTGACAATCTTTGTAACCTAACACCTAGCACAGTATCTGGCTGTAAGTTGTTTTTCTGTTTGTTTTTTACAATTATTAAGTGAATTCAGTGGTACTGATACAGTATTCTCAGTAACAATTTAACAAGCATGTATTAAGCACCTACTATATGCAAAACACTATCCTTTCACCCCAGTCCTCATAATACTTTCTCCTTCATCATTCCTTCCTTGAACAGGCAAAGGGCTCCCTACCTGGTGACATAAAATATTTTCTTCTTCAATTGGAATTTCTGTAAGTTTCTCATTATAATTTCCTATAGGTTCAGGTGCTTTATTATAATCTTCTACCAACAAGGACATCTCATTGTCATTTTCTACAGACTGTTTTGCCTCCTCGAAGTTTTCTATAGACAGCTCAGCCCCATCACAGTTTTCTACAGATTCTTTTGCTTCATCACAGTTTTCTACAAACAACTTGGCCTCATCCAGGTTTTCTTTAGACAGCTTTGCTTCATCATTATTTTGTATGGATGGGTTTACCTTGTAATTTTCTATAGGCAGGCTTTCCTCATAATCTTCTACATGCAGGGACGCCTCATTATAACTTTCCATAGACAAGTCTGCCTCATTGTAATCTTCTACAGACAGGTTTGCCTCGTAGTTTTTTGCAGATAGGAGTACCTCAGGATTTTCTTCGAACAGGGGTGCCTCATAATTTTCCACAGACAGGGGTGCCTCATTGTGATTTTCCAAAGACAGGGGTGTTTCATTGTAATGTTCTAGATGCAAGTCTGTCTCTTTATTTTCTACAGAGGGGGGCGCCTCACTGAAATCTTCTACTTGCAGGTTTGCCTCATTGTGTTTGTCTACAGATAAGAGCACTTCATTGTAATTTTCCACAGACAGGGGTGCCTTGTTGTTGTCATTTTCAACAGACTGGGTTGCTGGCTTCAGTGAACTCTCTGGAGAAAGGTAATGAGACTCCCACTCCAATTTCAGTTCAATGGACCCATTGGGTTTCCCCATAGGGTCATTGAGGTTGAAGTTACCTGAAACACACAGGTATGAATAGATATCAAAGTCTGGATGATTCAACATTATGGCCTTTCCTTCAGGTATGAATTAATCTAAGTTTTATTGGTAATAAAATGAACTTCTATCACATAATAATGATGGCTAATATTACTCAGGAATTACACCACACATTACTGAATTTATAGGGGAGTGAAACTATTTCAGCGTTCTAGGTGGGAAAAGAGGTAGGGGAATGTGGCTTGCCTTCTAGGAGCCCCCACTTGAGGGACAGCTGTGGTTCAGGTAGCTGGTGATGTTGATAATTAACCAGACCATACAGAAATGTCCTAGTGTTACAGACCTGGAGCTGGAAGGGACCTTAGAGCTAATTCCTAAAGCCATTTTCAGGTGAAAAAATAGAGAGACTTAAAAAGGTAAAGTGATCTTCTCAAGAACACACAGGTAAATTAGCAGAGATAGAATATGAATGTCTCCAAATCCAGCTAAGCCAAGTTGGTGCTGGCATCAATGCTTCCTGATCCTACCACCCCCATCTTCACCTTCTACCACACACACACACACACACACACACACACACACACACACACACACACACACACACACACTTTTCCTCTATACCATCTTCCCAGAGCTACATTCAGGAAGACTGCTCCTTCTAATGCATAAGAGAGAGGGAGTTAGGGTTAAGGGATGGGAATTTGAGAGTAGAAAGAACTGAGATCAGTTCTACTATTTAGGAAAAGAAATAGCTAAAATTGAATTTAGGGGAAAAGATATGTGTAAGCATAATCATGGTTATTATCTGGAGTTCTAAAAAATGAAGAAAGCAAAATGAGGGGATGATTTAATGCCACAGCTCATTAACATGTAATAAGAAACATTAAGCCTCAAAATGAAAAGCAGAAAGACTAAACTAGGAAAAATCCTAGGAAACACTACTATAAAGCTTTGGTCACTTTATATTCAAGATTGAGTGTGTAGCATTCAAATTGGCGGCTCTACCAAGTTGTAGGGATTTTGTTTAATTTATATTTTTGGTAAGAAACAGAAAAGTCCTGGGTTCTCCTACAAGGGCACTGAATTCTTGTGTTCCATTACTCTTGATGAGACCTTATTGTCTATTTTGTAGTTATTATTTAGCTTGCATTGTTTCAAGCAAGCAATTCAAGATAGATAGCTTGGGAATTTTTAGAAGACCTCACAGACAGGAGTAAGGGGAATGGTCCAATAACATCGAGCCCTCACCTTGAATGGCTTTATCTTGTGCAAGAGGCAGCAAAGGTATCTGAACTTTGCCAAGGAACCAGCCTAGCTCCGATTCATTGTCATCAAACACATATATAGGCAGGACTGTCAGCCTGAGATATCGATCCAGTTCCAGGGTCATGTGCACTGGGAAGCTGGCCCGATCACCAAAGTGGGGATGGTTGCTGGCAGGAATAATGGGTGTGTCATGGTCAGAAAAGGTGAAGAATTGATAGATGGCATACGGGCTGGGCTGTGCACCCAGACATCGGCTCCGGAGATTGCAGCACCTGACGATTTCCACCCACAACTGATTCCTATGCTTGAAAATCTCTGATCTGGACTGGAAAGAGGTAGGTCATTGGTTGTGGAGAAGTTAGCAGGCTTCTGGGATTGAGACTAGTAGACCAGAGTACTGCCCAATGGGGAGTGTGACCTCCTGAATTTTTTCCTGCTAATAGTGATGACAACAAACCTAATGACCACTGCCTATTTATGTCTTTATTCTTTAAAAGTGGCATAGAAAAGCAGCTGTAAGTACTCTACTCTCAAATTTAGTGCAAGCTCAATCAACAAGAGAATCCAAGATAAATAATTAAGGCTCTCTCTCATCTAAATTCAAGGCAGCATACTGGCTAGACACAGAAGGAGAAATGAAAACCTTGGATCCATAACGTATCTTTTTAAAACTAAGTTTAAAGTACTTTTTACATCTTTTTCATCCCTCCTCAGTGTTCCATGCACAAAATGCATTTTGTAAGAATGAAGACTGAAAAGTGGGACTTGTTCTTTTGAATGGGAGCCACAATTGGGAATAAGCTCAGAACACTTGATTAAGGCTAGGAGAATTGGATTATTAACTTGCTAGTGCTGTCCTGATAAGCTGTTGGGCAGCAGCTCCTTTGAAATATATTGGTGCATTCTCCTCACCTCCTCTGGCTGAGCCTTCCTGGCCCCAAGCACATTAGCAGACAGGTAAGCTTGGGCTTTCAATCGCTTATTGTATGCCTGTAGGCAGTGTGCTATGGGGGATTTCAGCCTCATCCAGTAATCCAGTGTCCCAAAGTCTTCTCCATTATTTCCTGGAGACCAGAAAGTGGGACATGTGTGGAAGAAACAGATGTAATAATATAGTTGAGAAACAAAGGAAGAGATTGTAAAAAAATCTTCAAGAGTAGCTGGGGAGCTTGGGAAAATCTACGCTAATACTAGGAGCTGTGGGAAAGCCAGGGGGGCAATACTAAGAGCTATGGGAAAATCAGGGGGGCACTTACCAATAAGCATGACAGTGCCATGGACCTTCTCCACTGTTTCTAGCACTTTGTCAAAACGAAGCCAGCCAACTGCAAGGGTATTGTGGTCAAGAGCTGCAGTCTGGTGGAGGTTAATTCGGGACAAAGCCCCTTGTAAATAGTTCAGGAAAAGGTAATCTGTTTTCACCACATATTGGGAGGTGAAATCATAGAGAGGTTGTGGTCCCACAGCCAGTGGGGTGCAGTGGATTTCAAAATCATAGAAGGAATAGATACAGAAGGAGGCAAGCTGGGTATCTCCAGCTTGAGACAGAGCTGCAGGTGACAAGTAGGCCTGGTGAATATGCAATTCAAAAAGGTTTTCTCCCTGGTGCAGCTGAAGATGGTCTACCATATTCTCCCCATGGACTGGCATTTCCAGATGCAGTGGAAACCTCAGGGTACCATAAGCCACATCTCTGAGCTGTGCTAAAGGGGAAAGAAAACTACCTCTTCATTCAAGAGCTGAGTAGTAAACTAATTGGTAGAAACAGAAAAGGGCTGAAAGTGGCCATTCAAGCAACAGTGTAATTCTAGGGGCAACAGTGTGATTCTTAACTTCAAATATGAAATCTGTTACTGACATGTCAAATAAAACCAATGCCTTTTTGTGGGAGAACTAACCAAATGGATGATTGAAAAGTAAACATTGAATGTAATATATACAACAAGCTCAAAAAAAATTCTATGGATAATTTCATCAACCAGATCAAACTGCTTTTGATAAACAGGGAGGGATGAGGGCAGGGGGCAGAATAAGCACCTATTAATGCCAGGCACTATGCTAAGCACTCTAAAAATATTATCTCATTTGAACTTCACAACAACCCTTCTAGCTAAGTGTTATTATTCCTCATTTTACAGTTCAGGACATTGAGGCAAATAGAAGTTAAGTGACTTACCCGGGATGATACAGCTAACACATATCTGAAGCTGGATTTGAACTCATCTTCCTGATTCACTCTAGCTTAGCACTCTATCCACTGTGTCACCTAGTGAGACCATGACAGTCATGGTTTCTGGTCAGAGGATCATTATAAGAAATTCATTGTGACTATTCCCAACAAGTAGAATAGGCTTGGAATGTTGAATGAAGAAAGAACAAGGTATGTCATATTCTTAAAAGAGTTCCTCTTTGGTAACTGTATGACATAGATGACTATTGCCATGTGCGTGTAACAGGCACATTTAATCACAGAGCCCCACCACCACAGAGGGTCTGTTACAAGATGCCCTGTGGGGCCTGATTAGAAAGGGAAAAATACAAAGAGGTAAGCAATGCTGATATGGCATGGGCAGCCACACACAGCCTTTCTACCTAATCTGAACCCATTACCTTCCACTAGGCACTGATCAGAAGCTTCAGCCTATAGCTTGATGTAAAGTAGTGCCGATACTAAGGGAGAAACCACCAAGACTGGAGGACAGGGTAAGAAGAAAGCAAAGTGACTCTTAATACCAGAAGCCATTTCCCTCTGACCATATTTCATATAGCTTAAAGAAGGTTAAATTAGAAAGCTACCTTAGAACTCATCTAGTGGAAACCTCTCATTTCACAGCTGAGAAATTGAGTCCCAGAGAGGGTAAGTCACTTCCCATAGCACACAGTGAAACATAATGACAGGATAAATAAGAGAAACAAGCTTTTGTTCTACCAAGCTAATAGTATGAACAAGATGATATGATAAAGGGTTCTTGATCCAAACCCCTCATTTTATAGATAAAGAAACAGAGGTACATTGGGAGGTCATTTTCCCAAAGATCTCAAAAGTAGTAAGCTTCAGAGGCACCATTTGAATCTAGGCCCTCTGGGTCCAGACCATATTCTAAGAACCAAGAGAAGAGACTTTTTAGGAAAATTGCAGAGGGAGGTAGGGTTAGTAAGGAAGCTACACTTAGTAAAACAGATGGCAGTTCCCTTAGCAATGGCTGGGATAAGGAGGAGGAAGCTTTAACTAAGTCTGTGTTTCCGACACTACCTTCCAGTTGTTGGATTCGATTGTTCTTGAGGTGCAGGAGTCGATTCAACTTTTCCCACTCCTCCTTGTGCTCTCTCTCGCTGTTATCAGCTTTTGTCTTCACGATTTCCAGTTCATCCTGAAATAAAAGGATTCTTCATTTTTTCTATGTTTTTATCATTATGGTTTAGACTCTAAGGCAAGGGCTCTATGGCTTTCTAGTGAGGTTGATGGACCCCTTACCAGAATAATGTGCTTAAATGCATAAAATATATATAGGTTTCTTTCTTTTTTCCCCAGAGGCAATCAGGGTTAAGTGACTTGTTCAGGGTTACATAGCTAGTAAGTGTCTGAGGTCAAATTTGAACTCCAGTCTTCCTGACTCCAGGGCTGGTGTTCTATCCACTGCACCACCTAGCTGCCTCAAATTTATAGGCTTTCAAAGGAAATAAAATATACTGAAATATAGTTATTGAAATATTGGAAAGAAAAGTTCATGAACTACAAGTTAAGAACTCTGCTTTAAGGAGTTCAGGAAAAACTGGGCTAGGGGATATTCTGCCAATAGCTTTTTCAAGAAAGGAGTGGCTACTCATGGATTTATTATTTTTCAGGGAACCCTTCAAGGATGGCATCACCCCAGGAAACAGCTGTTGTAATAGTGTCATGGAGCATCAGGTTCTTGGTAGCAGCAAAAATGTCTTCTAGAAATAGAGGAAGAGCTCCACATTCCCTGTATGCAGTAGCTGTTCCCTGACCTACTCTTACTGCCAGCATTTTACGAAAAAGTTGTTTGTCTTTCAGCCTCTGCAATGGGAACAGGTCTCAGCTTTGCAGACAGTGGCACAGTGTCTGGACATGACAACATAGAAGGATGTATCAGCTCCTATTTAACTTTGCTTCCCTTCTCTTAAATGGTGATACCTCACCAAGTACCATATCCACTTCCTGCTCCCTTCTTTTTTTGCACCTGATAATGTTTGTTGATCTGGTGCTGCACAAGTAGCATGTCTCTTGTCTTCTCTAATTCTAGTGCAGTTTCTGCGTGTGCCGCTTTCATCTGATTATAAGCCCAACACAGGTTCTTTTCGTCTTCTTGGATTTCTTGTAGAGAGTTCAGTTCATGGGTCTTCAAAGAGAAAAGAATTGGTTAAAAAGCATCTTAAGTATGATAAAAGTAATAATAAATGTCTTATAAAGAAGTGGTTACTGATAAAATGTCATCAACAGATTTTGCCTCAAAATATTTTTTGTATGAAGCAACACAAACTACAATTAAGTGCTGTGGGTTCAATCCTAGCTCTGCCCTGATGTTGAGTAACCTCTCCAGTCTTTGTATTCCTTATCTAGAAAATGAAGGGGACTGGAATAGATCACGCTAAGATCCTTTCCAAGTTCCAAATCTATCATCCTGTACCCCCATGATTCTACTCTTTTCCTTGTTTTCTTGTATTTTAAATAGTAGCGGGTACACTAAAATTGTAAGGAGCAGGATAGGATTAAGATGAAAAAAGATAGTTTAGAACTAATAAAATCTGGCTTCCCAAGAATTTGTGCATTGTGATATATTCTCATCTTCATCTTTCTCAAATTTCCTACAGCTTTTTGTATTCTGTTTGACTTTGGATACAGATTATTTGGTTGTTCACTTATTCTCTATTTGATTTCTTTTTGAAAAGGGTATTGACCCAGCATTAAAGACCAGAGCCTTGTCTTGTTGTCTTCACAATTTCCAGTTCATCCTGAAACAAAATGATTCTTTATCTTTTCTATATTTTTATCATTTGGTTTAGACTCTATGGCAGGGGCTTTTAACCCTTTCTGTGTCATATATCTCTATGGCTTTCTAGAGAGGTTGATGGACCCCTTACAAGAATAATGTATTTACATGCATGAAATACACAAAATTCTTTTTTTTTTTTCTGGAGGCAATCAGGATTAAGCGACTTGTCTAGGATTCAGGCCACTCCTAAGAAATAATTACCTGTGTTTCAGAAACAAAAAATAAAAACCCAAACCAACCCTTGTATACTCTTGGTGTGAAGGTTGCAGAAAGTCTGGATCTGACTGGCTGCTAGTAGTGGTCATGGTGGTAGTTTTCTGTTGGAGAAGTTCTACTTCCTTTTTATGTTTCATTAGCATCTGGGTGACTTCCTGCTTCAGGTCTGCATTTTCAGCTGGATAAAGAAACAAGTGAGTCTGTAAAGGCATTTAAAAGATTTTCTTGATTAAGATTTTTGAGCTAGTAAAAGGAAAAAAATATCCCTTGCTGCCCAAAGTTACCTTGGTAAATTTGGTCCTAGGAACACAAAGCAATTGGCTTTACGTTTTTTATTCCCCTTGCTTGCCCCGATTCTCTTTCTTTCTTGTTCTCTAGCCTATTTACTCATCAGTAACTAAAATTAGGTGCTACCACTTTAGGATTCTTAACAGATCTCTCTGTATTTTTTCCCCCTTCTCTTATTTCCTTGATATTTCACTCATTTTCCTTTCCTTTCTTGGGTGGAGACACAAGGAAGATCCTGATGCACATATGAATCTGATATGGCTAGCTCCCAGGGGGAAGTCTGGGTTACTGTTCTGTGACATTTTTTGGAAGTTTGAGCCACTGGAGTCACCTGTTAAACTCACTTGCTTCTACCACCTGTATCCCATAACTAAGACTTATATGGAGTCTGTTAGAAAAAAAAAATCTTCCAGCAAGAAGGTATTTGTTAACCATATAAACCCCAAATTTCAAGGGTCTCATGACTAAAAAGGCAGCTCCTGATTATAAAAGACTTTTGAATACTCTTAGACTGCATAATAAATAAGGCAAAGAAGAATATTATTTTGCAACCCTCACAGGAAGCTAAGTATGGAAGACAAAAACTACTCAATAAAAACCTTAATTCTAGTGAAGGTGAAAATATTACAAAGGTGGGAAAGTACAAATGTTTGTGTCACTCTTCTTTGATTATAAATATGACCTAATTTCTGGTGTCTCTATCCTAGCTATCCATGACAAGCTACAAAATCAATTCAACACACATTTATTAAGCACCTAGTGTATACACAGCACTGTATTAGGAGCTAGGTGGTAGAGATACAAAGCCTTGGTGAGACGTAATCCCTGAACTCATGCAGATCACAGACTAGTAAGAGTTTAGGCATAAGTATAAACAACCAAAATACAGATTGACGCTGCCCTAAAGCCCAGGTTTCCTTATCTGCAAAATAAGGGTGTTAAGATTAAGATTACACACACACACACACACACACACACACACACACACACACTTTAAAAAGTTACAAACAGAGTGCTGTAAGAGAAGAAATGTAGAAATTAAGAAGGGAATGATTATGGCCCATTGCCTCTACAAATCCTGAAACGGCAGTCCATTAAGATAGGGCTTTATAACAATATAACTGATTAGTTTCATCTTGAACCATTTTGTCCTGCACTTAGTGTATAGACATAAAAAAATACAGCAACCTGTCATGTTGACTTGAGTTTTTGTAAGGGAGATAAAAGAGAAAATAAAACATCTTTCTTCTAAAAAAAAATAAACAAAACAAACCCAAGTCTGGAAGATACTACCGTCAATGAGCAACAGCAGTTTGATCTAATAATTCCATAACATCCTACTCATAATAATCCATGTGTGTGTGTTTAAGGTCTGCAAAGTACTTTCTATGATTGATTCTGAGCTGTTTCAGTTGTTTTTCAGTCATGTCTGACTTGTCATGACCCTATTTGGGGTTTTCTTGGCACAGTTATGAGAGTTGTTTGCCAAGTAAGTATTTTCTGATACCGTATTTCATTTGCTCTCACAACAGCCTGATGTTATCTTCATTTTACAGAAGTAGGAAAGTAAAGCTGAAAGAAAGAAGGGGAATGACTTGTCTATTTTCCCACAGCTAAATTCATATGTGCATTAGGGCCTTCCTCGTGTCTTCATCCCAAAAAAGTAGAGGAAAATGAGCAAAACATCAAGGAAATAAGAGAAGGGGGGGGAATTACATAGGGATCTGTTAAGAATCCTAAAGCGGAAGCACCTAATTTTAGTTATTGACAAGTAATAGCTAAGTATCTTTGAGGTAGGATTTGAACCCAGGTCTTCCAGCACTCTACCCACTGAAACACCTTGTCACTTACCCTGCTCCTTAGCCAGTTGAAGCAAGATCTTTCTCTTCTCTTCTACCTCAGAATCCAGCTGCTCCTGTAGATGAGAGACTTTCTGCTGGAGCCGTTCCTTTATGAGGTCAGTGCTCCAGTGAGGCTGACTGTTGCTGTTTAACATGCTGGGAATGTTGAGAGAAGTGTGGGGGAGGGAGGAAATATCAGATAAATAATTTGAGGTTGTCAACATGGCTTTCATCTTCCATAGTTTCAGCATTTCCTATGTTTAGGACCTCATTTACTCCCCTTCATGTTCTTCCTGACTGCTGGACCCAACTGTCATTCCCAACCGCCTTGGAACCTTTAGGAGCCCGTGAAAAATGAGTGATCCGGGGCAGTTAGGTGGTACAGTGGATAGAACACCGATCCTGAAGTAAGGAGGACCTGATTTCAAAAACAGCCTCAGACCAAACACTTGACACTTACTAGCTGTGCGACCATGGGCAAGTCACTTAACCCCAATTGCCTAATTTAAAAAAAAAAAAAGAAAGAATGTGAAAGATGAGTGATCCACACTCCGTCAGTTGGACTCTAGAGCTTCTGCCTGGATAACCCACCCACCCAGCCCTGCCAAAGCCACTGTCCTGCCCCCCACCCCCACCCCAAGCTCTTCTCCATTATAATATGGTTTTCATTAGCCTGGGAACCATGAACCAAGATATTTTTTTACGACAGGCTGTATTGATTATAAGAGAAAATATTTTCCCTCTTCTCCCTCCAGGAGATCAAATTCAGAAATAATTTGCCTCTTTAACTAGATTTTAAAGTTATAGGACTTAAGAGCAGGGACTGTGTCTTCTTTATGTTCTAATAGGACATAACTTCATTGCCAGATGTATTGGCATACTCAGTTGGTCTGGCAATGAAGTTCTCTGGGCAAAGGAAGGTAGAACATTTACACACACACACACACACACACACACACACACACACACACACACACGCACGCGCACACACACTCGGGCACCTAGGTAGCACAGTGGACAGAGTATAGGGCCTAGAGTCAGGAGGACCTGAGTTCAAATTCAGTCTCACATACTAGCTGTGTGACCCTGAGCAAGCAACTTAACCCTGTTTGCCTCAGTTCCTCATCTGTAAAATGAGCTGGAGTAGGAAATGGCAAACAACTCCATTTTCTTTGCCAAGAAAACTCCAAACTGGGGTCATGCAGAGTTGGACCTGATTGAAACAACTCAATAACACAAACATATATACACACCCATTCATATAGATAGATAGATATGTATATTTACATATAGCCAGCTCTTAAGCTAGTTTATACAAAAACGTGGATCCAAGGTGGACCTTACAGTGGCCTACAACACACCCAAGGGCAGCTCAAACCATATTAAAATATAACTGGGAAATATTTAACAAGATAAATAAAAATACAATAAAACACAGATAATGTATAGGTTTCTAAGTCAATGTGCAGCATGCAGGGATCCTTGTATATGACTAAATGGCATATATCTATTGAATTTGACATCACTGTCGTGGATGATTTAAAAAAAATGGGTAACAATCATTTAGGGGAGAGGATTTTTTAAATGAATAAGTTTTTTTTTAAGTAATTCTTTTCAAATGGTATTTTATCTAGGCTAATATTAAAACTAGGCTGCATTTCTTGAGCATACAAAGCTAGGTCTGGTTTTAAAATATACTACAGAAAGGGCAGCTAGGTGGCTCAGTGGATAGAGCTCTGGCCTTGGAGTCAGGAGGACCTGAGTTCAAATCTGCTCTCAGACCCTTGATACTTAATAGCTGTGTGGCTCTGGGCAAGTCACTGAACCCTCATTGCATCACCAAGAATTTTTAAAAACTTAATAAAATGTGCCAGAGATAATAAAGAACTCACTACATTTGTTTTTTTGAATTGAAGCTTCCAAGCTGTTTACCAAGACCCCAGGTAGGCTGCCCTGAGCCTCACCTTCTCAGTTCTGCTTAATCAGGACAGAACCCTCTTTTTTCCTGTCCCCTTCCTTGGTACTCACTTTGTACTCACTTTTTTAAGAGTCTGTCATGATTTCCCTTCAGTAGATTTCTCTCTCTTTTCAAATCCTCCACTCTGTCCTCAAACTGAAAAAAATAGGACATTTTTGACTACTTAAAAAACTAATGCTTTGAGTTTGTAAGAGCTTGACTTCTCTCTTCACCATCATATTAATACTTTCTTGGCCTATTTCCAATAATCATCTTGAATGTAGAAGCCAAGGTAGGGAAGCATTAATCCAAACCAAAGGGTCCTTCTGGATCAAGTGAGAGCAGGCGATGATGAAGGTACTGCTGAAATAAATTAATGAGAAACCTGGAAGAATGGTTTCATGTGTGGCTATGAAAGAGAATGACTCAGCTACTATTAACAGCTGCAGACCTTACTCCCCACAGTGAGAAAACCCAGATAGATAGAAGTAAACCCACACTGTAATGCTTTCCTGGTAAAGAAGATGAAGGAATGCTGGCTCAGTCTTTAAACATGACTTACTGAGTGCAGAGGACTGTGCGATGTGGTGTAGAAAAACATCAAATATGAATAGAAAACTCTCAAAAAAAACTTACAGAATTGATAGCTGAGCAAGGAAATGTAATTTGGATTATAAAATTCTTGCTTTAGTAAAAATTCCTTAAACAGTGAAAAAAAAAACCTCTCTGCCCTTAAGGACTGACAAATACAAATGGAAAGAGAGCACAAATAATAAGAAAACTGAAAAATGCTTTCATGAATAGGCAACCTACATGCACTTAAATATGGTGCAAACAAACAATATGTACTTAAAGCACTAGAGGGCACAGGAAGACATGTAAATTAATTTATATAATTTAAGAAATCTGCATGACAAAAGTATTATACCCAAGATAAAAAGGAAAAAAATGACAATTAGAAAAAAAGTATAGGCAATATATAAGATATAAAGCCATGAAATCTAGAATTTATAAGGAAATTATGCAAAAATATAAGTGCATAATACGAATGATATAAAATGGTCTGACCCAATAATACAACCCTAGTAGATCTATAACTGGGTCATGACCCAGAGATAGAAACAATTTACAAAATAAGAAATACAAATTTAAGTGAACACAATGGGAAAAGTTAAACTTCACTTAAAATTAAAAATGTAGATTAAAACAACTTTGAGGTACATTTTCACATCTATCAAATTGGCAAAAATCAACAAAAAATTACTATCCTCAATGCTAATGGGATAATAAGGAACCAGATACACTTAAAGAGTTTACTGCTGTTATTGCAAAGTGGTGCTATCATTTTGTAGAGCAATTTGACAGTGAACTGTAAGATTTATAAAACTGAAAAATACCAACAGTCTCAATATTGGAATCTACCCCAAGGATGTAATTAAAAAGAAAAAAAAAAGGTACAAATGTGTTTATTACTGCATTATTTATAATACCCCAAATTGGAAACAGCCTAAATATCCAATAATTGGAGACTGGCTAAACAGATGGATATCTCAGTGTTATGCTACCATTAAAAGGGTAGATACTACTAATGAGAAATATTAGGAATATAAAGAAATTTGGAAAGACAAAATAAGGCAAAGTGAAAAACCTAAACTAGGAAAAGAGGCTACACATTAACTATGAACACAGAAAATAAAGCATAAACCTGTACCTAAGTAAATGGACAACCAAAGATATATTGGAAGAGGCCATAGAGCAAATTACTGACAAGCTATCATTATTATGTGTCTATTGTTTTTATTGTAGATAGCTTTGAGCAGCTAAGTGACATAGTGGATAGAGTACTGGGCTTGGAATCAGGAATATTCATCTTCAAGAGTTCAAATCCAGCCTCAGTCACTTACTAGCTTTATGACCCTGGGCAAGTCACTTAACCCTATTTGCCTCAGTTTCTTCATTTGTAAAATGATCTTGAGAAGGAAATGGCAAACTATTTCAATATCTTTGCCAAGAAAACCCCCAATGGGGTCACAAAGAGTCACACACAGCTCAACAACAAATACCTTTGAACTACCACTAAGCCTACCCTCTTCTTTGCTAAGCCTACCCTCTTCTTGTGCAGTTTATATTTTCAACCTGAGTGCAAGGAGGATGTACGTACATATGTGTGTATATATGGATCCTAGTTAAATTTCATCTTCTTAGATTTTATTATTTTTTGTTTTTCGGTTGGGCAATGGGATCAAGTGACTTGCCCAGGGTCACACAGCTAGTAAGTGTTATGTGTCTGAGGCCGGATTTGAACTCATGTCCTCCTGAATCCAGGGCCAGTGCTCTATCCACTTCACCACCTAGCTGCCCCTTAGATTTTCTTTAAGGTGCTGACAGGACCCAAAATTATTGGAACTGTATTTGAGGACTTGTAGATAGAGATTTGGAGGAAGGGAAAACAACTGATTGGTGAAGAAGATTCTGTTCTAGATTTGGGCAAAGAGGGAATGATAGAAGATGCAATAAGAAACTATTTTTAAAACAAATATTTTGAAGTACTACATTACAAAACATTTTTTTGAATGAAATATCTTCAACAACATTTTTAACAGTTCAAAATGTTCTTAAAACTATTATGGGTACAACTGAGCAGTTAGCTTAGGTTAATGAAGGTCCTCACACAATGAGTTCTAACTTCACAATACAAACAGTTGTCAGCAGTTCTTTTTATTAATTATGGTTGGCTGACAGGATTAACAAAGTTAACAGCTGAATGCTTTATTTTAGTGAGCAGCAGCATGTATGTAAGGGGAAACAAGAAAATCTACCTGAACATTAGGTCACTGAGAGCACAGCCTAAATTGTATAGGAGGCAGCTAGGCTAAGTGGATAGAGTGCCGGGCCTGAAGTCAGGAAGATTTGAGTTCATCAGACACCAGCTACGTGAACCTAGGCAAGTCACTTAACCTCTGTTTGCCTTAACTCACTGGAGAAAAAAAATGGCAAACCACTCCAGGATCTTTGCCAAGAAAAACCCATGGTCCAGGGGGTCATGAAGATTTGGACATGACTGAGCAACAATATTTGCATTCCTGGTGCCTAGGACTGTGCCTTATAATACATATTTGGTGAATTAAGTTGAATGCCATCAGAAAAATTAGTTCAGAGCTCTTAGAGCACTAGAAATTGATGGTAGATTTCTACTTCTAGAGCTGTTCTCAGGCTTCCATTTATGCCATGAAAAGTAGACTAAGAAGGCCTGGAAAGTGACATGCTGTGGCTTTCAAGAGGCCTCACAAAGATAAGTCCTTCTTGGACTAATGAACTTCCTCCAGAAACTCTCCAGGGGGCATTTTTGCCACCAGTCCAAATGGATTGAGGAACAATACATTTGCTATAAGAAGGGGACCAAAATTATGTTACTTTCTAAATCATAGCATCCTAGAATTGCAAGAGACTTTAGATCTTCTAGTGCAACCCACCTACAATTGGTGGGAGGCAATCTGCCCAGCATGGCATAGCCTGTATACAGTTTACTTACCTCTCTCACTGTAATCCGTAGGACAGACATGTCTGCCAGCTGACTTTCCAGACTCACCACCTTCTTGTTCTTTTCCTTCAGTTCTGTACTGAGCTCATCCACTTGAGATAGCAGAGCATTATGGGATGTACTTAGCATTCCCTGATTCTGTTGCCACGTAATGAGGAAAAAGGCAAAACAGGAATTCTAAAGGTAGAAGTGGCATTCACAAAGTCTAATTCCAAAGATAATAGCAACCCTGCTAACCCCTTGATTTACTATGGCGAGTGACTGAGACTTAAAGTGATTAATAATGTAATGGATTTTTAACACTAGTATAGCTGACTACCATCACCCCCTGCAATCACCTTAAATGCCTAAAAATTTCTTACAGTCATGATAATCGGAGACAAATTTGACAAATTCGTTCTATGTACCTTATGGCTTCATTGAAAGCTGTCCTGTTTGTGTATCTCCATGTACCCTGGCTTTACCCCATCCACAGAACTGTTGCTGTGGAAACAATAGTGACTCAGGTATTTGTGAGCCAGGCAGACTACTCAAAGTTTACAAGATTCCAGGGTCTTGCTCCGGACTGTGAATGGACTTCTGGGAAGAAGCCAAAGGGCTGCTTCAGGAGAGTCACCATGCAGGACTAACAGTATCTAGGGAAGTAGAAGAGTAATGCAGATAAGAGGATGACCGCAGAGGAGCGAGAGTAGATCCAGTAGACCTTGAAAAGGCTGGTCCCTGACACCTTTGTTTTCTGGGTCTGTTTCACTGGCCAAGAAATAGTCCAAACTTATTTTAGTGGCAGTGGAGCACTGGAAACTTGGAAACTCTGAGTAGCCGGCCCAGTTCACTAACAAATAACCTAGTCCCCACATTTCCATGGCAATGACTCTGTGTGGGTTTGGCAAAGCTGAGTTAAATACTTCTAGGCCTATTTCTTTTCTTTCTAGCATATCTCAACATAAAATTGAAGTGGAGGAGCTAGTGGAGCAGAGTGAGAGAAAATATCTTTGCAGTCAGGATAGAGCCTGGGACTGTGACTTCATCGGTAATAGGGAACTCCTGGATGAGCGAATGCCCTCTACCAGTGCAGGTGGGCACCTTCTCAGAAACTTGTAAAGAGTTGCCTAGTCAGTGCAGTGAGGTGGCACAGTGGATACAGCACCAGCCCTCGAGGCAGGAGGTCCTAAATTTGTAATCCAGCCTCAGATACTTACTAGCTGTGTGACTGTGGGTAAGTCATTGTCATTTAACCCTGATTGCCTCAGAAAAAAAAAAGTTGCCTAGAGCAGAGAGGGTCAAACTCCATCAGGAGACTAGCAAAAGTCCCTAGTATGGTACAACTAGATTAAAATATAATTGGGAAATGTTTAACAAGATAAATAAAAATTAAATACAAATTTTGTTAATTTGTGGTTTTCTAAGTCAATATGCATCCACCAGCAACCTATTTCTACTTGAGTTTGACATCACTGGCCTTAGAGTACTGATGAATTAAATGATTTACCCAAAATGATGAGGCCTTTATGTGTCAGGCTGAACCTGAGCCCAGTTCTTTTACTTCAAGGCAGCTAGTGACTCAGTGAATATAGCACTTTATCTAGAGTCAGAAAGATCTGAATTCAAATCAAGCCTTAGACATCTACTAGCTGTGGGACCTTAACTAGGTCACTTAACCTTTGTCTGCCTCAGTTTCCTCAACTGTAAAAATGGGGATAATAGCACCTACCTCCCAGGGTTGTCGTGAGGATCAAATGAGATATTATTTGTATAATGCCTTAGCATGGTGCCTGTTTACATGGCAGACACTTAATGAATGTTAGTTTCCTTCAAGGCTCCAAGTAAAGTTTCCTGTTCATTATAAACCATGCTGCTTCTTACCTTTATAATGTCTGTCACAGGTAAATTCTCCTAGTTTGAATTATATTATAGTTATGATTTTGACAGCAATTTAAAAAGATTTTTTAAGTTTTCCAGGTGGCTAAGATACAGTTTACAATAATAAATCCTGTGCCCAACCCCTGTCCCTTTTTTGCACTTAGAAGAGTGCTATCCTGGTGTAGATTACTATAGAAAACAGCTGGTACTTTCCCAGCTACCTGTACTGGTTTAACCCCTAGCCTGGGTTTTTCTTTTCCTCTGCATTTTCCAGTTATTGCAAGTACAGTACCTGCCATGTAGTTTATATTTAATTACTTGATGTTAGTGTTTAATAACTTATTTAATTACTTGTTGACTGATTGTTGACCATGGAGAAAAGCTGGAATGGTAGAACTGAACTGCCATGGGTATTTAAGTGAACAACAGTTACCTACAGGCCTTTTAAATGTCTAGCTGACATACATTAAAAGTCCAGCTCCCATTGGATATTTAAAAGGATCTTAGGCAACAGCTTTGCAGCTAAATGCTCTTGGCAATTCAACTCCATCCTTGTCTTTTTCCTCTTTTACCTGGAAATGGAAGGAGAAAGCAGAGGAAAAAAATCTTCTATCTCCCTCCCCCACTCCACCCCGAAGTGTGGGTGAGAATTAAATAGGAAACTACCCTACTGGCCTGAGACTATTAAATATTAGAACAGGGAAGGGATCTTAGAAAGCCTACAGATATACATATCAGGATCCAAATATGAGACATATCTTATATATTTAACAATCTTTATTTTTCAGGTGAGTAAATTGAGGCCTAGCAGGCTTATGGGGCTTTACTGTCCAAGGGTCAAATATTTTCCAGTCCAGCATTCTTTCTATTACTTCATGCTGTCTCCTAAATGATGCTGCCATCTTTTATCTGGCTTGAACGGCAAAGATCTCCCCACCCTGGAAGAGAATGGGGCTAGAGGCAGATAGAGGTAGAATAGCTTTATAAAATTTGCATCTCTGTTCAAATCATAGAAGAATAACATGCTGAAAGTGCTCATCACGTTGGTGCTTCTGAACAAATCAATGTCCTAGATTTTTTTTCTCATCCTAGTTCTAAATATTCCAAATTTCCATGGAGACAGCACCACAGCAGATCTCTTTCAGGAGGTTTGTAGTTACTTTAGTTTCAACTGTCTTAAACAACCTTGTCTGAAAAATAATTTTCATTTAATTGGCTAATTTTGGGTCCTCTGGTGTTCAGAAATGTATAAAGTATTTTGGAGAGAGCAGTTACTCTGATTATCTAAGAGTTGTAAACTGAAGGGACCCTTGCATCTTCTGGAAGAACCATATGCCTAGAAGAGAAAAATCAGCAGTATAACATAATAAAAAGAGTCCTGGACTTGGAGTCTGAAAATCTCACCAAGCTTCAATCTTCTCATCCATAAAATGGGGATCATAATGATGGGGTGTTTTGGTGCTTGTGCTTGTACTTGGACCCCAATTTCTCCCTAGTCTCAGAAACACTGTCTCTGACAATCATTCCCCAGCCCAAGGATACTGTGCCTAGGACACTCATGCATGGGCCCCAGCAAGACCCTTATCTCTCTCCCTGGTGCAGCTACACAAAGCTGGGTGAGAGAGTGCTGGGCTGCTCAGGCCCCAGCCCTCAGATCATGTCTCTGGAAGCCTCCCAATTCCTTAGTAAGTTTCCCATCTTGTGAGAAAGCTTTCCCTTGTTGCAGAGCATTCTCTCATCAAGACAGAGGGAGAGGGATGCCTTGCCCAGCCCAAGGAGTTTCGTCCTTGGCTAGCCCGAGGACTCTTCCTTCTGCCAGACTACACCTCTGTCATCTCCCTCCCTGTCTGGTATACTCCCTGTACTTTCCTATCCATAGCTCCCAAAGACACCTGGACCTTTAGATTACCTCATCAGTGTCCCTGGCATTCCTTTCCCATGCCCTTTTCCGTATAAACCCTAGCTCCATCCTCAGTCTCTTGCAGGTTCTTTAAGAATCCTTGCCCACTGAAAAGCATAACAATAAATCTTTGCCACCTTGACTTGAAGAATGTTTGAGTCTGTGAATTCATTCCAGATGATCCGGCCTGTTCTCTGACCCGGCCTGTATTCCAGTCTTTGAGGGGTCTCAATCTCTCAGACTGCAACAATAATACCCACACTTACCTCAGAGTTGTTGTGTGCAAAATGCTTAGTAAATTCCAACATACCATATAAGATATGGACTATTATTCTAGGACAGAGTAGTAGTTGGTCCAGAAGTCAAGAAGACCTAAGTTCAAGCCTTGCCTCTGGCACATACAGGCTATGTGATCCTGGGCAAGTCACTTAAACTCTAATTCTCTAGGCATCTCTCTAAGACTATAAATTGCAGAGGTGTTGACTTGTATTGATAGAATGAATTTCTTTACGTGAAATCACGGTCCAATCTTCTTTCCTTATTACACAGATATTTATCTGTCTCCCCACTCATACAGTTTTATATTGAGATGTGCTAGAAAGAAAGGGACTAAATTTTGAAGATCAGTCAATAAGGAATATTTAAAGGATTACTGTACAAAGCACTGTACTAAGTGCTGGAGATAAAAAGGGAAGGCAAACATAGCCCCAGGCTTCAAAGAGCTTACATTTAATTGGATGAAACAACATACACAGAAGAGAAGTGACCAGGGAGGGGCAATTTGGCCCCAAAAGTACCAGGGAAGGGAGTGGGGTCATAGGAGATGAAGTGATATACTTCATTCTGGAACAATGACAGAGTTGATTTGATCATGGTTTGTGGTTCCAGAACTGAAGGCGTATTAAGCTAGGATACTTTCGCTCAGCAGAGGCCAGGCCATTACCAATCAAGTGAGAGAGTTTCCTAGAAAAGAATTCTCTTGTATTCACTCAGTATGCATTTATCTGTTGTCTCTCCTTTTTCCTATCAGGGCAAGAATCACTGATACTGCCTTGACATTTTGACAGAATAAATCATTTTCTAGATTAAAATGGTCAGTGCAGTGGATAAGATCAGTTAATGATTCACACATGTATGATCTACTTTGTTGCTCTTCCGTGAAATGTTTAAAATCTCAAACTGGCTTCCACCTTTCACCAAGTGTACTATTGTCATGTTATGTCATGCTTCCTGGTCAGTCAGAGTGAAAAAAGAAGCTTCTCTAGTTGCAAGAAAGTACTTAACACCCTCAGGTGCTCAACTATAAGACTGTGATCCACCTAGGTACTTGGCCCCTTACCTTGCCCTGGGAATTTGACCTTGATTCCACATTATTGCTATTGTTCAGTGTCTGAACCAGGGCTTCCATCCTGTCTCAAATTAACCTCATTTAATCTCACCTTGGAGAAAAGGGCCTTCAGTGTTTTTATATACCTTTGTGGGTTTGTGTGTAAGGATATTGTGCAAGGATCACTCAACCTAGGCATTCTTCTAGGCCTGATAGAGGGATCTGTACCTAGCAGGTGCTTAGTCAACTGGCTGACAAGGGGTAGGTAGGGTGTAATACAGAAGCAGATTTCCCTCTAATCCAAGAATAAGATTGCACCACTTAGAGCTCACCAACAAACTCTCATGAAAACTTAAATAATGAAAGGAAAAGCAAAGTCTATTCTTTTTTTAGGTGTAGAATACCTATTAAATTGCATGGTTGCCTTCCTGAGGAACTAGGACTTCATTAATTCAAGCTGTTGACTTATTGCAACATGATGAAGATAATCCATTATTAAGATTCTATATTCTCCAAAGACACAAGGTACAAAAAGGAAAGCAAGATGAAATAAAAAATATAAATGTTAATTTTTGAAGACATCATCAGACTACACACCTAGTATGTGTTAGAGGGAGAACTTGAACTAAGTTCTTCCTGTCTTTGAGGTCTGTCTCTCTTTTTTGCTTTTGTATTCTCTTATAATTTGTAGCTCCTTGAGGTCAGGGACTATTTTATCCTTTGTCTTTATATCCCCAGTGCATATCAGCACAGTGCTTGGCACACAGTATTGATATGTATTGTATTTGAAGTGATATGAAATATATATAGAATATATACACATATAGATATATAAATTTATGTGTGTGTGTATGTATATATATATATACACACACACATATGTATATGGTGTCCCAAAAGTCATAGTGCAGTTTTAAGCTACAGTAATGCTAGCCGCTAAAGCTTAAAACTACACTAATACTTTTGAGATGTCATATATGTGTATGTGTGTGTATATATATACATACATATATATGTTTTATACCTACATATATACATACACATATACACACACACACATAAAGCTTAAACTTTAAGCTACCAAAGTTAAAAGACTGCACTAAAACTTTTGGAACATCCTATATTCATTCACATATATACATATACATGCATACATATATGCACATGCACACACATCTACTTGATATTCAGTGTATTTCTTCAATAACTATCTCAGGAATGTTCCCCTAGCCCTTGGCAGAGTTAACTCTGTCCACCATGGAAAGTTCCCTAGCAAGTTCTGCCTACCATGGCAAGTTCCCTAAGGAGCTCTGCCCACCATGGAAAGTTCCCTAGGGAGTTCTGCCTGCCACATTAGCGTTATAATAAACTTTTTGCCACCTGACTGGAAGACTACTTGACTCCACGAATATATTCCAGATGACCTTGTCCTGTACTTGATTTCTTGGGGAGTCCCCCAACCTCTCAAACTGCATCAGCCCTTCCTTATCTCATATTTGCACAATATGATGCATGGCCAAGCCCTGAGCTCCTATTTCCACTCATGCAGCTCTCACTCACCTCCTGCAGGTCTGCTAGTTGTGCCTTTGCTGCCACAAGGGCAGAACTTCTTTCATGCAGGAGTCTCATCACTTGGATCCGTTCCACATTCTCTCTAATGGAAGCTCTAAAGACAGAATACCTAGTGAGCACACATTAAACGCCTAAGATGCACACTCCACAAAAGTGGGAGACATATGTAGAAACCTCATCTCCTCATAGCAAACCAGTTGAGACTGGTTGATACTTTTAATCCGATAAACTGGGTTCTGCCAACTTATTCGTATTACATTTGGGGGTACATGGGATGGGGTGAGGAGAAGGGAAAGGTGGATGGGAAAATGGATAGGCATAGCAATAGCCATTTTACTAAGATGCCCACTTTGACCTGTTTCCATGCACCTCTTACATGCTCAACTAGCCCTGAGCCTGGTTGCCTTAGAGAACCCAGAGGAACCAAAGAATAAGAGCATTTTCATTTCTACAAGAGCGTTTGGTTTATATGTTTTTAACTCAATGAGAATGCTTTTTGGTGAAGAAATAGCATTGGTTACCTTTCTATGAAGTGCAATTCCCAAATTATCACTATATGTAAACACTCACCTCTAGACTTTCAACCTATCACAAAGAGTCAACCATGGGCTTGCAGGGTGTTCTATACAGCTAACTTTAATCTCAAACATTCCTGGTAATTCTAAAAGGAAAAAAACATTCTCAGTTCAGTGTAGTTTTGTAGCACAGAGTGCCACCTTGTCATACCTATACTCTGTAGCCAACTGAGCATGCTCTGAGGAGCTTTTCTCTTCACATTCTTCATCTTTGGACCACATCTTCTCTGGAGACTTGGGTGACAATTCTAGTTCATCCACTTTCACAGAATTGTTGGTCATAATCTGGACTCTGTTAGATGTGTACACACTAATGAGGGGATTTATGATAGTAGAAATTATGCTTTTATTGAAAGAAGATATACTGCTTAGAATTGGGAGCATAAAGAGAAAAGAGAAGGGAATAAAAGCTGGCTTAATTTGTTGCTCAGACAGGGTTACGAACTTGAGGTTCACATAAGATGAAAGATATTGGCAATTAATACCCCAGGGCAGACGGAGGATGCCCTTACGAATGGCAAATCCCAAATAGCAGAAAGAAACGTGAAAAAAATTTCTAGAGAGAAATAGCCATATATGGAGATTCCTTAAATGGATCCCAAAGACATTACACTTTTCTCTGAGGTCAGAATATAAACTTTCCCATTTTAAAGACAAGTTTGGAATTTGTCCTGGAGTTGATTTTCATCTTCCCACAAATCAAGGAAGGAGGAAATTAAAGAGCTAACCCTCATTTTTTTTCCTCTCTCAATAATGGCCTTTAAAATAAAGCTGCTGAAACAAGGTGTCAGATAAGAAAAAATAAATGAATAAACCACTCACGGTTCACTGGGCATCTCAGCCCTGACTTCTTCCGTCAAATGTTCTTTGTATATAGGAGGGGCTGTATAACTTGGTCTGGTAGGTGGTGCTATAAGAGAAAATTCAGGCAGAGGATGGAACCTGTGGCACGGGGCTTCCCAGATTACCAGATCCCACGGGGATTTGAAGACCATAGAGCCAAGAGATTACTCTGAACAGCACTGTGGTCTGGTGAAGGACATCTCTCTCTCTCTCTCTCTCTCTCTCTCTCTCTCTCTCTCTCTTTTTTTGACAGCAAAATGGTCACTGAGAATTGAAACAGTCAGTGACACCCCAGAATGTCATGAGTGGGAGGAAGACAGAAGAGGAAAGAATAACAATTTGCTACTTTCTTAGCTATAAAGGTTTTAGTTGGCAAGGGTAGGTTGAAACTGCAGTATTATATGAAATAATATATTATGTGTGAATTTCATTAATTTATGCTCATCTAACTCTGATATTTTAACAGGAGAAAGTAATCTTTGCCCTTTGGCCAGTTACCAGAACACTCACTCACAGCAGAGTTTCCCCATATTTGGGGAAAGGGCAAACTCAGACATTTAGCCACTTGGAGTGGCATGACTGAGAAGGAAATCCTGGAGGAACCTATGTATATGTGCAGGAAGAGTAAGAAATTTAGCTCTCCAGCGCCTATATCCCTAAATTACAGAGAAGAGGGCCTTACTAGTTCCTAAAAATTTTTGTCAATGTAGCCTTTCCTAATTATGAGGTTCAAGACATTGGTCTCATTGTGAAGATACTCTCCTCTGGACACAACATAACTATCAAGAAATGCTAAGGCTTTGCTCAGTGGCACCGAAATGGAGGTATTACGTTTAATTCCTTTGGGGTGATCTGATCTGCTTGTCATACTTGTTCCCTAATCAAACTTTAAGGCACCACCTCCCAGGACCCAGCCACCCTGGTGCCTGCCCTTCTCCCATGGCCTGTCTTCCCCAATTGGTGTGTCATTCTTCCCAACCCCCCTGCCCCACCATCCCTACGGGCTGTTTCCCCACTACCAACTTCCTTATAGAGTTTTGGAGGGTCAAGAACTATTACCAGTAAGGTGAGAGGTATAGCCCAGACGTCCTGAGGGTTAGGCTACCTCTTTTGAATTTGCCCTGGACACAAGAATTCCTAGTCTTGAATCTGCTTCTGGGCTCAGTTGGCAAAGTCACTATTTCCCAGTGTCTGTACCGGACACACTCTCCACCATTTCCCATCAGCGTAAGATTGAGGTTGCTACTGTACTTCAACTAAATAAATAGTCTCACCTACTTAGCGATTATTCAAAAAGGAGAAAGCACACACACGTTATTGTAGTACCAGTGAGGGAATATGGTCAATGCATCCTTTTTTCTTGAGTATATTTTAGCAAAGCTCTGACGCCAATGAAGTATGGTAGGATTTAGTCTTCCCTCACCTCTTTTGAGTTTTGCTGAAATGTGCGCATCAGAAGTGTGAAGCCGGTGCCTCCCTGTATTGATTCGAGGCTGTACATAGCTATACGGAGAGCGCCCAGAGCTCTGGACTTGCAGCTGCTGTTTATACATCAGGAGACGGTTGTTGAGTCCCTCATTGTGTCGCTGCAACTGCCACACTTGGTCCTTCAGGTTTTCAATGGTTTCTTCAGCCTTTAGATTCCTGCTAGGCCTGCTGGCATCCCCACTAGTTCTTCCTTCAGCTGTGAGTCTCAACAATTTTGTCCTCATCCTATTTGGAAGAATAAAGTCATTATTGTTATTATTACCTCAGACCACCTTGTTATTTTTCAAATTCAATAAAATTCAAGGTGCAGAACCCTGTTAAATATTAAAAGCAAAAAAAGTATAGATAAGACACAGTTCTTACTCTCATGGAGCTTATAGTAGCTTATACTAATAGGGAAGTAACAAATACCAAGAGAACTATAATTCAAAATACCACATTAGAGAGGCGGAAAATAAGATGTGATGGGTACTGGGGAATAAATGGCTGGTGGGGAGGGTGGTCAGAGAAGGCTTCATAGAAGAGAGAGCACTTCACAGACTCAGAAAACTTAGAATTAGAAGGAACCTTATAAATCATTTAATACAACCATGGTTAAACAGGAATCCTTTCTGTAACATACTTGCCAACTGGTTATACAGATTTCAGTGATAGGAACCCACTACTTTTCAAGGCAGCCCATTCTACTTCTAAATAACTTGAATTTTCAGGAAAGTTTTTTCCCCCCTTATACGAAGTCCAGAATCTCTTCTCTCTGAAATTACCCATTGCTGCTAATTCTGCTATTTGAGATCAAGCAGCATAAAACTAATTCCTCTTCTACATGACATTCTTTTAAATACTTGAAGAATGCTATTCACCTCTCAACAGAAACGTAACAGAGTAAATACATAGAATGATGCACCCATTTTCAGATATGGCCAACATGGACATTCATATTTGTTACAAGGGTTTTATTTTTATTATTTTCCCCCAGAGGAGAATAAGGGAAGTGAGAGGGAATGAAAACAAATATCTGTTAATTGAAAAATAAAATTTAATTTTTTTGTCTTTTTAAAATAATTTATTTTTAGTTTTCAACATTCCCTTACATAAGATTTTGACTTTAAAATTTTTCTCCCCCTCCCTCTCATCTCCTCTCCCAAGAAGGCATACAATCTGATATAGACTCTACTTATACATTCATATTAACCATATTTTCCCATTAGTCATGATGTAAAGAACAATGAAAACTAATGGGGGAACCATGAGAATAAAGCAATACAACAAAATAACAAAGGAAAAGGAGAGCAAATAGTATGCTTCCATCTGCATTCAAACTCCATAGCTCTTTCTTTGTCTTGAGTCTTAGATCCTTGGATTGCTGAGAAGAGCCAAATCTATCAAAGTCAGTCATCACACAGTGTGGCTGTTACTGTGTACAATGTTCTCCTGGTTCCGCTCATTTCACTCAGCATCAGTTCATATAAGTCTTTCCAGGTTTTTCTTTAGTCCACCTGCTCATCATTTTTTATAGCACAATAATATTCCATTACATTCATATCCCATAACTTGTTCAGCCATTCCCCAATTGATGGGCATCCCCTCAATTTCCAATTCTTTGCCACCACAAAAAGAGTTGCTATAAATATTTTTTGTACCTGTAGGTCCTTTTCCCATTTTTATGATCTCTTTGGGATACAGACCTAGAAGTGGTATTGCTGGGTGAAAGGATATGTACAATTTTATAGACCTTTGGGCATAGTTCAAAATTGCTCTCCAGAATGGTTGGATCAGTTCATAACACCACCAATAAAATTTAATTTAAAAAATTTTTTAAAAACCAGTTATCATATCCCCCTTATAACTTCTCTTTTCCTGGCAAAACATCCCCTGAATGTTTAACTGATTTATGCATGGTGTTATTGTCTCTAATACCCTCAACAGAGCCATAACTAGGTGAGGGTGATTAGGGATTTGCCCCAGCGTGACAAATTTAGAGCATGCTAACAGCATTTGCAGCACTTCAACCAGAAAGAGACTATAGTTATCACCTAGTTAGCAATTACTTAAAATACGAAGTTCCAACAACCTCAGACTTTCCCCAATGTGTTACAACATTATTACCACTATTGAATATTGTTCTAGAAATGCTGTCTACAACAATAAGAAAAGAAAAAGAAATTGAAGGGATTAGAAAAGACAATGAAGAAACAAAACTATTACCCTTTGCAGATGACATGATGGTATGTTTAGAGAATCCTAGAGAACCAACTAAAAAACTACTCGAAATAATTAACAATTTCAGCAGAGTTGCAGGCTATAAAATAAACCCACATAAATCATCAGCATTTCTATATATTACCAACAAAACCCAACAGCAAGAGACAGAAAGATAAATTTCATTTAAAGTAACTTCAGACAATATAAAATACTTGGAAGCTGACTTGCCAAGACAAACCCAGGAACTATATGAACACAATTACAAGACACCACACAAATAAAGTCAGATCTAAACAATTGGAGAAATATAAAATACTCATGGGTAGGCTGTACCAATATAATAAAAATGCTAATTTTTATTAATTAATTATTTAACTTTAATTTTTATTAATGAATTAATTTCCTTATTCAGTGCCATATCAATCAAATTAAACCAAATATTTTTTTTATGAAGCTAGAAGAAAAATCAACAATAAAATTCATCAGGAAGAACAAAAGATCAAGAATATCAAGCAAATTAATAGGGAGAAATGTGAAGGAAGGTAGTTTAGTAGTACCAGATCTCAAAACTGTATTATAAAGTGATCATCATCAAAGCGATCTGGTACTGGCTAAGAAATACAGTGGCAGATCAGTGGAATTGATTAGGTATATAATAGACAGTAATAAGTGACCACAGTAAGCTAGTATTTGACAAACCAAAAGATCCAAGAATTTGCAACAAGAACTCACTATTTGACAAAAATTTGTGGGAAAACTGGAAAGTAGTTTGGAGGAAACTAGGAATGAGAGGCAGCTAGGTGGCGCAGTGGATAGAGCACCACCCCTGAAGTTAGGAGCACCTGAGTTCAAATCCAGCCTCAGACCAAGTACTTGACTCTTACTAGCTGTGTGACCCTGCGCAAGCCACTTAACCCCAATTGCCTTAAAAAAAAAAAAAGAAACTAGGAATGGGCCAATGTGTCACACCATATAGTGAGATAAGGTCAAAATGGGTACATGATTTAGATATAAAGGGTGATATAAGCAAATTAGGGGAGCATGAAATATTTTACCTGTCAGATTTATTGATAAGGGAAGAATTTATGACTAAACAAGATATGGAGAGCATTATGGAATATAAAATGGATAATTTTGTTTACATGAAATTAAAAAGTTTTTACACAAACAAAACCAATGCAGCCAAGATTATAAGGAAAGCAGAAACTGGTAAAAAAAAATTTATAGCAGATTTCTCTGATAAAGACTTCCTTTCACAAATATATAGAGAATGGAGTCAAATTTATAGAATGCAAGTCATTCTCCAGTTAATAAATGGTCAAAGGATATGAATAAGCAGTTGTCAGAAGAAAAAATCAAAGCTATCTATAGTCATGTGAAAAAACGCTCTAAATCACTATTGATTAGAGGAATGCAAATTGAAACAAGTCTGATGTACCACGTATTAGATTGTCTAATATGACAGAAAAGGAAAATGACAAATATAAGAAGGGATGTGGGAAAATAGGGACAATAATGCATTGTTGGTGGAGTTGTGAACTGATCCAACCATTTTGGAGAGCAATTTGGAACCATGCCCAAAGGCCTATAAAATTTTGCGTACCATTTGACCCAGCAATACCACTACACGGTCTATATCTCAAAGAGATCAAAGAAAAAGGAAAATGACCTATTTGTACAAAAATATTTATAACAGCTCTTTTTGTAGTGTCAAAGAATTGGAAATTGAGGGGATGCCCATCAATTGGGGAATGGCTGAACAAATTGTGATATATGATTGTGATGGAATACTATTGTGCTATAAGAAATGATGAGCAGGATGCTTTCAGAAAAACCTGGGAAGACTTACATGAACTGATATAAAGTGAAATGAGCAGAACCAGGAAAACAGTAACAGCAACATTATACAATGATCAACTATGATTGATTTAGCTTTTCTCAGAAATATGATGATCTAAGACAATTCCAAAAGACTCATGATTGAAAATACTATCTACCTCCAAAGAAAAAACTGATAGAGTCTGAATACAGATTGGAGAATACTTTTTTAAACTTTATTATTCTTTGTTTTGGTCTGTGTTTTCTTTTTCAACATGGCTAATATGTTTTGCATGGCTGGGGAAGTATAATCAGTCTCAAATTGCTTGCCTTCTTAAGGAGGGAGGATAACAGGGACAGAAGGAGAGAACTTGGAACTCAAAAAATTTTTTTAGAAGAATGCTAAAAATTTTTGTTTATATATACTCGAGGAAAAAATCAAAATTAAAAGGTTCGAATAAAAAAGGCCAACTCACATCCTTCAGATTTGGCAAATGTCCTAACATACAAAAGTAATTAATTCTGCCATACAGACCCAAAGTAATTAATTCTGCCATACAGACCCATATTGAAGGAGTCCACACCCACCCAAGCTAAGTGCTAGAATATATTTTTTTTTCCTTTGCCTAGGAAATGGGGTAAAGTGACTTGCCCAGGGTCACACAGCTAGGAAGCATTATGTGTCCGAGGCACTTGAACTCAGGTCCGCCTGACTCTAGTGCCAGTGCTCTACCCATTGCACCACCTAGCTGCCCCTAGAATATCTTTAATAAATATCCTTTCTATGCTAAGTCAACTTCTTTTTCTTAACTATTGAATGACCTATGAGTGTCTCATTTTGTTCTAGTGTCAGACTTGAACTAGCAGGGTACCAGCTTAGTCAGGCTGTCCTGACAGCACACCTCCTGAACAATGATTTAGGACACAAGTGAGTTCATTCCTAGCCTTGACTCCTGGAGTACTTTGTGGTGACTGCCCCAGCTGCAAAAATCTGAGGTTACAGTCCAGTCCCTTACATCATGGTCATCTCAAACTCCAGTTTTGGTCAGTGTTCCAAAATGGATAATGCTCCAGATGATATTTGACAAGGCAATCAACCAACAAGCATTTATTAAGCTTTTGCGGAGAGATCAAGAAAGATGAAGTCTGAGAAAAGACCATTAGATTCGGCAATTAAGAGATTCTTGGAAACTCTGGAGGTTATTTCAGTTGAATGTTGAGGTCAGAAGCCAGACTGCAACAGGTAGAGGAGTGAGTGAAAAGAGAGGAAATAGAAGCAAGTATAGACAGCTTTATCTAAGAGTTTGTCTGAGAAAGGGAGGAGAGATACAAGATTGTAGGGATAATGGGGTCTAGTGAAGGTTTTTCAAGCATGGGGGAGAATTGGGAGAATTGAAGGTGGTAGATTCAAAAGGAAGTTGGGGGTAAGTGTTGAGGAGTCATTCTGCTAGAGAAGTTGAGAAGAGATGGAATGAAGATCAAAGGGTCTATGTAGAGGAAAAAGACTATCTCATCAGGGATAAAGAAAAGAGGAGAAAGTGGGGGAATGTCAAGGGGTTTTGAGATAAAGAGAAAAGAACATGGGGAATGGCCTCATTTTTCTCAGTAAGATAAGAGATAATACCCTCACCTGAGAGAATGGGGGGGGAGGGCAGTGAGGAATGAGAAAGTATGAGAGACTTGAGGAGAGAAGAAAAGGTTTGGAATAACTTCTGGGGAGAGAGAGAAGAGAGTGAGATAAGGAATTAGGAAGGAGCAAAAAGATTACTTTGCTGAAATGAGAGCCTATCTGAGGTTAGTTAACAGAAATGTGTTTTGTACCTGGTCAGCATGGTTGAGAGACTTAATCCAGTTCTGTTCAGCAAAACATAAGTAGGAAGGATCTCTCTCCTTCTTTATACAATGTCTTGCTTAGTGTAGCCTAAAATTGTGTTCTCTGTTTTTTCTGGTTGCTTTGCTGCACTGCAGATTCCTATTACATTTGCAATCTAGTAAACATCTAGCTCTCTTTTGCAAGAAGTGCTTTCTAGCTATGCCTCTTTCTTTTCTGTGCTTGTGCACTTGAACTGGGTTTTAAAAGATGGTTTGAAATTTTCCAGGAAAAGAGGGGAAAGGAGGACATTTTAGGAATGTTGAATAGCATGAGTATAAGCAAATAGGTGAGAACTCATAGGCATATTTGGAGTACATATTGTTGTCCAACTCAGCTGAAATAGAAAAGTAAATGGAGTAGATTAGTATAGGATAAAGGTGGAAAAGTAGTTTCATTTCTGATTGTAGCAGGCCTTGAAGGTCAGGCAAAGTAATGTGAACTCTAAAATCTGTAGGGAATGAAACAAAGTCTATGGATTTTTTCAAGCATAGTAGCTATAAGTCAGATAGATTAATAAGCAAAATTATTCTGGCCAATATATAAAAGATAGACTTAGTTGAGGAGGTAGAGGAATAAAAACTCATTAGAAGGCTATTTCAATAGTCTAGATGGGTGGTAATGATGGCCAATTCTAGGGCTGTGGCAGTGGGAACAAAGAGGAAGGGATGAGAGATAAACAGGGGTAATACTGATAGGACTTGGTAACATAGGGCCTCTAGTACATCACCTAGCAAAGTGTCTCCACTTAGTAAATAACTGCTGGTTTCACTTAAAATCTTATCCTATAACAGCATTGTAAGATGAGTAGGGAAAATGTTACTCTTCTTTCTTTACAGGTGAAGAATCTGCTACACAAAACTGTTAAGTACTTTGCTCAGATTGACAGTGGGTTATAGACTAGAATCCAGGGTCTAGAAATGGGACTATAACACAGATTAGTATTCTTTTTATTAAGACCATATTGTCACAGCACGATGCACTTATTATGCGATAGGGCAAATGATAGTTATATTTTTGGTATCTTATCCCACACTGAACTTCAAGTTACATGAGGACAGGGCCATATTTGGTCTAAGCTTTGTATTTCTCCTAGCACCTAACATAAAGTAAGCACTTATTTAGTAAGCACTTAATAAATATTGGATGTGAGAGAAATGATTTTTAATAACCAATGATTTAGGGAGATCCAGAGTTTCCGCCTTTTTCTAAAGTCCTAATTTTTAAAAGTTCAGGCTATTAAAAAGGATATTGCTGATAATGAGATTGGACTAACTTTCTAGTTCAGACTCCACCCAAGTGAGGGAGCCATTTTGTTCTGCTTACACTTGGGTGGGGCATAAATTCTTTGAAGAGATTGCCCTAAGTGGATGACATAATCAAAGTTCAGATCCAGCCCATCATTCATTCTCTCATTAATTGTTAACCAATCAGAGTTATTTGTCATCCTTTAGAATACTCCTTTACCAAAAGAACATATAAGCCTTGATTATAATATTGATTATAATAATCCATGATTGTCTTTGGTCTAAGAGAGATGGCCAAATGACCATCTTTTTATTAATAAACATGCTTGCCTTATTAACAAAATGATTAAATTACCCAGAAATTATGTCTCTCGAACCTTTTTAATCTCCACAGATGATTGGAGGGAAGACCCCATTGCCTCATGAAACACCACTGGGTGAAACCATGAGGAAAAATGTCTTTTGACCCTTATCAACTCTTGAAGTTAAATTGTCAAATGAGAAGATAGAGAGAGAACACTTTGTAAACCTTAAATTTAGAGCTATATAAATGTTGGCTGTTGTTACTGTTATTGAGGACATGTCTCACAAAAATCAGTTGAAGGAATAGAAAATGTTTATTTGGGAGAAGAGAAGAACAAATAGGGACATCATAGCTATCTTTATGTCTGGGCCTTTGAGTGAACTATGATACTGTCATAATGCAGTCATAGATGCTAATGGCAACTTTGGCTGCATTAGGAAAGGCAGTGCTCAGAATGAGGGCGGTGATTATCCTGTTGTCTTCCGTTTTGGTAAGATCACATCTAGAGTGTTATGTTCAGTTCTGGACACCACATTTTAAGAACATTGATAACTGGAAAGCATCCAGAGGAGGGTGACCAGGATGGTCATGGGCCTCAGGATCAAGCCATATGAGGATTAGCTGAAGCAAATGAGGATTTTTTTTTCCTTAAGAAGAGAAGCCTTAGAGGTAACATGATAGCTATCTTCAAATTTTAGGATAACTGTCAAGTAGAAGAAGGATTAGATTTGTTCTACTTGGCCCCAAACAGCAAATCTTGGAGCAATGGGTAGAGGTTGGAGAAAGATAAATTTAGGTTTGATGTGACAAAACATACTAAATGATGAAATAACAGACCATCTGGAATATTGGAGTACAAGAGCAAGAAAAACTCTAACAATTAGACTTACACATAAGCGGAATAGGTTGCCTCAGGAAGTAGTAGTTTCTCCCTTGATGCAGGTCTTCAGGTAAATCATGGATGACCACTTTTGGGGATGATGCAGAGGGGACTCTTGTTCAGGTATAAGCTAGTCAGAATATTCTCCAAGTCTATGGGACCAAGAACTCCCTTACCTTGCTTCTCAATCAAGTCTGCCCCCTGTGCTTCTGTCAAGTTTTGGAAAAGGGTTTTAAGGGTAGTGCCATTCCAATCCTCGTCCCATTGCTCTGAGCCAAGCTATTATTTTGTCAAGGATATTTTCTCCATGAATTTCAAAGGTAGCAATTTAAAGGTGTTTCCCTCTCTGTTTCAAGAGAACTAGTACTGCTACGTATTGGAAGGGAGGATATTTCTAGGTGAGCTGAAGCTAACACCCAAGGAAGTAGAATAACCCAGGGTTTTTTAGTTACTTCCTGATTTGTGTCAAAGGGCATCAATGCTTACTCTTTGCAGTAAAGCTGCTATGATGATCTTACCTCAAAACTTACTTTCAAAGCAAGTCATCATTGTTTTTAATTTATCTTTCTAAGTATAGTTACCTCTGTAAAAATTTCATCTTCTCCACTTTCATGTTGGCATAATGCATCCAAGTCAATAGGTAAAGTGCTGCTAGCATTAACAATAATTTAAACATACCTTTTGATCTGATCCTCTTGCTTCCAAGATAACTCCTTCACCAGCAAGCTCTCCTCTTGAAGTCGAGAGAAGCTGTCCTCCAACTCCTTCCTGCTCATCTTACTCAAGTATGGTCCAGATTTTACGTTCTTACCTAAAGTTCCAGAATGACAAAAGAAATCATAGCATTATAGATCTTAGAGCTGGAAGGAATACTGAAGAGACTTTAACTTCTATTTCTTTTTTTTTAATTCACTGTTGCTTTTAATAACTTTTTGACTAGAAAACGCAGGATTTGGTGTCTGAGTACCCAAGTTTGAATTCTGCCTCTGTTGCTTATTATTGTGACTTTGTTTTCGAAGTCATTTAACATTAAATGGGCCCTATCTGTAAAATGAGGAGTTTGGATAAAATTGTCAACTCTAAAGCAGCTGAGGGTCTAGACCAGAGGTAGGGAACCTGCAGCCTTAAAGCCATGTGTGGTCCGCCATGTCCCCAAGTGCAGCTCTTTGGCTAAATTCAAACTTCACAGAACAAATCTCCTTAATAAAAGGATTTGTTCTGTAAAACTTGAACTCAATCAAAAAGCCTCACCCAAGGACCTTGAAGGCCACATATAATGCCTTGACCGCAGGTTTTCCACCCCTAGTCTAGACTTCAGAAAGGAGAAAATGTTAATAATGCAGATTAAACTTAAAAGTGTGTCCTGCATTGTTCCCCACCCTGAGAGCTGGTTGTTAAGGGTTTACCAGCTTAGCTGCTATGAAGAGTTTTAAATGCCAAACAGAGGGTTTTATGGTTGATCCTGGAAAATATCGGGAGCTGCTGGAGTCTATTGATTAGAGGGATGACTTGGTCAGACCTGTATTTTAGGATGATTACTTTGGCAGCTCAATGAAGGATGGACAGGAGTAGGGAAACTTGAGATGGGAGACCAACCAGAAGACTCTTGCAGTAATTCAGGCATGAAGTGTTGAGAGCTTGAACAAAGTGGAGGCAATGTTAGTGAAAAGGAAGGAGCATAGAAGAGAGATGTTAGGAAGGTAGAATCAATAGGACTTAGCAATATATTGGATATGGGGGGAGAGAGATAGTAAAGAGTCAAGAATGACTTCTAGATTGTGAGCCTGGGTGACCAGGATTATGGTGGAGCCCTTGATAATAATAGGGAAGTTTGGAAGGGTGTAGGGTTTTGAGAGTAAGATGCTGAGTTCAGTTTTGGACCTGTTGAGTTTAAGATGTCTAAATCAAGATGACTGTTGTCTGTTGACTGACTGATTTGTCAGGTATTTGGTAGTGGGATTGGGGTTTTTTTTGGTTTTTTTGCAATGAGGATTGAACTAAATGATTGTTAAGGTCCCCTCCAACCCTAAAAGTGTGTAGTTTTGTGATTTATGATTTTCTTGTATCTATAAAAATTATGCTTGGACCAGATTGTGGCTTCCTTTGTAGAACTACTCTTTTTCTCAATCTGTCTTCCATGGATTTTCTGATGGTGGCACAGCTTGTCAGGGTAACTGTAATTGCTCTGACTCATTAAGTAGCATAATTAATGGCCCATCTTCTGTTCTCAGAAGAAAAGCATTAAGTGTCTTCTCCTCCCAGACTTTTTTTTTTAAATTATGCTTAAAATCTAAGGAAGTACAGAGAGCCATTCCTAGAGGGCATGTGCCCAGAGTAAATCACACTGTCTCCTTCCCTGTGTCTGTGACTGTGCTTCCCCCAATTCTAGCCAAAAAAAGTACTAAAACAGCAATAACAACAAAAACCCAACTCTTTTATATCGATGAAATCAAGTTAAAACTGACATTGTTGGCATGCTTAATGCAGGGGGAAAAAAATTTAAAACAGACTGAGAAATATGTGTGGTAGAGAAGGGTGGCAGAGACATCTACTTTGCCTTGGTAGTATTGTGAATAGGGTGGAGAATATAGATAGATAGATAGATAGATGTAGATATAGATATGTATATATGTATACATATAGATAGATATAGATATAGATGTGTATGTGTATATATGTGTGTGTATGTGTGTGTATATATATATATATATGTATATATATATACATACACATCTCATGAATTTATAAAAACATCAGAATTTTGTTCTCATGTGGACAATGAGGAGCTACAATCCTTGCTCTCCAGTAGAGGCCTCCCTAAGTCGCTGACCAGCTGTCAGCAGGCCAGGTCAAAAAGCAGGGCAAACAGTGAGAAGGGCCCTAATCTTTTAGTAGACTCCAAAGTTCTAGAGGGCAGAACCGGTTTTTAACTAGCCCTAAGTAGGACAAAGGGCACAGGCTTTTGGATGAGGAGGGATGGAGGAGGTGGGATTGAAAAGGGGACATGGGATGGGTGGATGTGCAACATTGTAGCCTGGAAAGGAACAGCCCAATCTGGACCTGGAAGGAAGGAGTCTCGGAATTCTAACAGGATAAAACTTTTTCTCACTTCTGTATTTGGCGCAATCTCTTCTGAGAGGTTTGCCCGGTTCTCCCAAGAACTGTAAAATAAATGATTCTTCACTCAAAAAAAAAAAGCAGGGTAAAGAATAATATCTTTATTCTCCATAACCTGAAGTTAACTCTTTTCAAGGTACTTAGTTCTTCCCATTGTCCACAGGGCTGTGAGTAGACAATTCTGCCTCCCCTTTCACCCCATTCCCATCACATAACACAAATTATCTTCAACTCCTTTATTTCTCATAATCAGTACAGACTTAACCCAACTCAGAAACTTCTAGAAAAGGAGGAGAGGGAGAAAGAAGTTAAGACTGATGCTGAATTCAGATACTGAGCATGGCTTTAATTTTTTAAAATATATAATTGATGAACGACTCAAGCACTGAGTTTACCTTGAGTAGATGTTATCATCAAGGGCTTGGAGTCACTCTTTCTGATAGGCATGTCTCCAACTATGTCATCCACAAGAAGCAATGACCTGTTATAATTCCCACCCTGAAAGAGAACAAATTGTTAAACAAAAATGTCACCCTTGCTTTCATGTGTAACCTAGGCACAGGTACAAGTCCTAGAACTCCCTTGCTGTCTGAAGTTAAGTTGTAACAGGTGTTTCTCAGTTCTCCAGTGAAGCTGCACAGAAATTTCTTTGGTAGGTTTGGATCACTCTGATCCAAATAGGCAAGCGTTTTATTATTTTTCTTTACAACGTCTTCATTGTATAAATTGTTCTATATGGGATGATTTTAGTGCCCCCTGGAAAGTATTCCTGGTTCTCAAAATAATGCCTTCCCACATGGACTGGTTTCTGAATTTCTACAACCAGAGTTTCATTTCTTTGATTTAAGATAGTAAGCCCTATTAAAATATAAATACCCAAGATAAGTAAGGAGATTTTAAAAGTGTTCTCAAATGAGTTCAAGCATCAATTACATCCTAAGGTATTTAAAGAATTGTGGTAATGATTGCTAATACAGTTCTGCTCTCTGAAAGAATGAAGGCAAATTTTCAATAGTGGTAATATCATTTTAAATTGACTGGCATACTTTAGGGATACTGACTCTGTAGAGAGACTAAATTTGCTATGTTTTTATTAACAAATGAATATTCTTAGAATTAGAAACCAATTGCCATGAAAACTGGGTAAAAAAATACAAACTTTACATTGCTTTTAAAGGTAAGCTAGCCACTGAAGTTCATTAAATTACTCTATCTCACCACTTGAAGGGCAATATTTATTGTTAGTACTAGGTAGGTGGCCAAATGTGGAGTTGGGATCATTTTAAACCCTGGGCAGTCTTGGAAGGACAGAATGTAGTTCTCTAACATTTAGGCATCCATCAAATGATTCTGGAGAATCCCAGTGTGTGCCCATCCCAACCCACACAGCTGAACCTGAAAGTCACATGGTCATGACATGTGGACTGCACTGGCAGATCAGGTATTCATTCATTCATTCATTCATTCATTCATTTTGCCAAATCCCCTCAAACTAAGGACTCGATCTAGGTGCAGGTATGGGCAGTGATGACTATAAGGAAATGAAATTAATGAATTTTTTTGCTCTTCCAGCTTCCTCTACCTGGTCTCCTTTCCTCCCAACTCCCATTCAGGTGCCTCATCTCTTCATCATCTCTCTTTCCTTCCTTTTCTATCAAAAATCTGTTCTCAAGAAAAGTGTAAATGATATGTGACCTTGGGCAATAACTTCACCTCTATGGGTCTCATGTCTGAAAAATGAGGATATTGAACTAGAAGATGTCTAGGTCCTTTCCAGTCAGTGGTGAGCTGATAAATGTCTAACAAACAGAGCTCCAAAGACCCACAACACTCTTAAGTTTAATATGCATTATTAACATTTTCTCTATTGACTTCCTTAAGTCTAGAAAATCAATAAGACAATAAATCAATACACATATACATATATATATAACCTATATCAAATTGCTTACCATCTTAGGCAGGGGAGAAGGAAGAAAGGGAGAGAGAAAATTTGGAATTCAAAATTTTATGAAAAATGAATGTTAAAAATTGTCTTTATGTGTAATCTGGAAAAAATTAAATACCATTTTAAAAAAGACAACACATCAAGCCCTGATTTGCAGCATTTGCCTATTTTCTAGATGTAAATGTTCACCCTGACAATTTAACTATTTTCTCTGGCAGGTAGGAGCTAGTGCTAGCATACCCCTGCTTCCAGCTGTATCATGCTATGTTTCAATAACTGATAAGGTTTGATGTGTTGCCTTTCCCAGAATCGGAGTATTTCAAAATTAGAAAGAATGTCAGTCCAATCTCTACCTGTCCAAACCACTCCTGACTTGTACTGGTGAAATTTATTTTTAACTCAGTTATAGGACTTTACATTTGTTTTCTACATTCATTTACATAATTATAATAGCATGATTTGTAATGTTAATTGTAATAAAAATAACTGTTTGTTAAATTACATCTTATTAGATTCAGTCCATCATTTTAGCCTTTCGACTCATCTTGGATCCTGATTATTGCTCAACGTGTTAACTACTTTTCCTAGGTTTGGGCCATCCGCAGATTTGATAAATATCCCTTCAATGTCTTCATTCAAAACATTAATAAAAATGTTGACCCTAACAAGGCCAAGGTCAGATCTTGGAGGCATTCCAATAGAGACCTCTCTCCAAGTTCATATTGGACCATTAATGAATATTTTTTGGGTTTAGTCATTCAACCAGTTTCAAATCCACATAATTATACTATTGTCTGTCCCATAGTTCACTATCTTGTCTACTAAGATGGCATGAAACTTTTTCAAATGGTTTGCTAAAATCAAGGCAAACTATGTCTGTAATTTTATCATTCTAATAATCTTGTCAAAAATAGAAATTAGTTTAGTCTGGCATGACCTGTTCTTTTTTTTTTTTAAAGCAATTGGGGTTAAGTGACTTGCCCAGGATCACACAACTAATGAGTGTTATGTGTCTGAGGTCAGATTTGAACTCAGATCCTCCTGACTCTGGGGCTTTATCCACTGCACCACCTAGCTGCCCCCTGGTATGACCTATTCTTAGCAAAAACATGTAATCATTACTTTCCTTTGTAGCTATTCACAAACCAAACTTTATTAATGGATTCTAGAATTTTGCCAAAAATTAAATTTTGTTAACTTGCATGCTTTGTAGGTTCAATTCTCCCTTTTATTTGAGGGGAAGAGAGAAAGAGAGAAAGAAAGAAAGAAGAAAGAAAGAAAGAAAGAAAGAAAGAAAGAAAGAAAGAAAGAAAGAGAGAGAGAGAGAGAGAGAGAGAGAAAGAAAGAAAGAAAGAAAGAAAGAAAGAAAGAAAGAAAGAAAGAAAGAAAGAAAGAAAGAAAGAAAGAAAAAGAAAGAAAGAAAGAAAGAAAAAGAAAGAAAGAAAGAAAGAAAGAAGAAAGAAAGAAAGAAAGAAAGAAAGAAAGAAAGAAAGAAAACCCGAAGTCATTTGTCTTCCATTTCAGAAACCAGAACTATGTTAGCAATCATTCCCACAAGTTCTTTAAATATCCTAGGATGTAATTTATGCTTGAAGTCATTTGAGAACACTTTTTAAACTCCTTACTATCTTGGGTATTTGTATTTTAATAGGGCTTAATATCTTAAATCAAAGGAATGAAACTCTGCTTGTAGAAATTTAGAAACCAGTCCATGTGGGAAGGTATTATACTGAGAACTAGGAATACTTTCCAGGGGGTGCTGAAATCATCCCATATAGAACAATTTACACAATGATAACATTATAAAGAAAAATAATTTTGAAAGACTTCAGAATTCTGATCATTGAAATGACAAATTTCAAAGTATAAAAGGTGAAGCATGCTGCCTGTCTCCTGACAGCAGAGTCCTGGTGGACTCAAAACACAGAACAAGACATGTATTTTTGGGTATGGCCAATTAGAGAATTTGCTTTGCTTGACCATGAAGATTTGTCATAAGGGTTTTTTTTTCTTTTTCTTTTTTGTTGTTGTTTAACTAGAAAGGTGAGGGGAGAAGTGGGCAAGAGAGAAAAAAATGCTTATTTTAATTAGAAAAATTTTTAATTTAGTTTTTAAAATAATTTTAAAAAATAAGTTAGCAAGAGGACATATTCATCATCATTATCTTTTTTTAAAAGGCCACCATTTTTTAACCCTGCACAAAGTCTTTCTGGAGCTTCCAATTGCAAATACCCTCACTCTTCACATACTTTGCATTTAATTGCTTTGCTTGTATTTGTTCATTTGATATTTATGCCACACATATGTGTATACACATATATATACACACACATATATATTTTAGATATACTCATTTACCCAATTAAAATGTAAGCTGTTTCCAAGCAGGGATTGTTTCATTCGTTGTTCTTGTAGCCCCGGCACCTAGTACAGTGCCTGGTACATGGTAGTCCCTTAAGAAATACTTGCTGGGGGGCAGCTAGGTGGTGCAGTGGATAGAGCTCTGGCCTTGGAGTCAGGAGTACCTGACTTTGAATCTGGCCTCAGACACTTGACACTTACTAGCTGTGTGACCCTGGGCAAGTCACTTAACCCCATTGCCTCACCAAAAAAGCAGGAAAAAAATACTTATTGGTTGATGTAAATAGAAGAACTTAAGTAATTTAAGTGTGTTTGAGATGAAACCCTCACTAAAAGTCCTCTTCCCATGACTCATTATAGTGCCAAGGTGATCCTAGCCATTTCTCAAAGGCTTTGTCATCAGATCAAAAGCTCTTACAGGTGCTACTCAGCTGGAAAGGCTTTTAGGATTGCCCAGTAGTAGACTGGGGTTCCTATTGTTTTAGTACCAGCCTATATATGTTCAGAGAGACCAACCAAATGCTTATTGACCAGATGATGGATTTTTTTCCCTACAATATCTCATAAAGACTGTGTACTATGATATGAAAGGGCTGAGGTCTGGTGGAGTGAGTAGTCATCTATAAATTCACAAATAGTTGAAGAAAAAAATGAAAATATAAAACTTTCCAGTGTCAAGCACGAGCGGTTGTTCTTAACATGGAGACTGAGTAAAGGGAATAGGGTTTAGGTCAGTCAGGTGAAGCGATGATTTGGAAAGAAGGAAAAGATAAGTAGTGGGCAAATTGTGAAATAACTAAGAGACTTTTTTTTCTTTTAATCAAACAGTTTTCAGGAATATAGAAATGAGTTAATGCAGAGTGGAAGAACTAAGGTACAGCTTCTTTTACCTTTTTGGGGTTTTTTTGTTTTTTTTTCTTTTTAAGGCAATTGGGGTTAAGTGACTTGCCCAAGGCTGTCAAGTGTTTGGTCTGAGGCCAGATTTGAACTCAGGTCCTCCTGACTTCAGGGCCAGTGCTCTATCCACTGTGCCACCTAGCTGCCCCTATCTTTTTGTATTACAGACTTCTTTGACGATGTGGTGAAGCCTTTGGATCCCTTCTCAGAAGAATGTTTTTAAATGTAAAAAAACAAGACATGTAAGGTTACAAAAGAAACCTATTATAATTATCAAAATATTTTTAAACCA